AGGAGGGAGGGAAGGAAGGAGGGAGAGAAGGAAGGAGGGAGGGAAGGAAGGAGGGAGAGAAGGAAGGAGGGAGGGAAGGAAGGAAGTCTTCTCCCCTCTCTGCATGTCTCTGTGTCCAAATTTCTTCTTTTTATAAGGACAACAGTCCTGTTGCATTAGGCCCTCTCTAGTGACCTCATCTGAACTTGATCATCTGCAAAGACCCTATTTCCAAACCAGTTCACATTCCCAGTACAGGGGTGTGGGGTGAGGACTGGAACATCTTTTGGGGCAAACCGTTCAACCCATAATAGCCTGTCTGGGGTCAGGCTGAGGGGACTCTGGAGGGATAATGGGAGGGAAAGCGAGGTGGCTTCCAGCCTGCCCAGAGGCTGTGGCCTCTCTAGCCTGGGTACCCTGGTGATGTGGGGTCTTCTGGGTGGGTCTTCTGCCTGGGGCAGTGCTGGCTTTGACTGTCACCTCTTTTTTTTTTTTTTTTTTTTTTGAGATGGAGCCTTGCTCTGTCACCCAGGCGGGAGTGCAGTGGCACAATCTCGGCTCACTGCAACCTCTGCCTCCCAGGTTCAAGTGATTCTCAGCCTCCCTAGTATCTGGGATTACCAGCGCCTGCCACCACCACGCCCAACTAATTTTTGTATTTTTAGTACAGATGGGGCTTCACTTGACCTCAGGTCTGGAACTCCTGACCTCAGGTGATTCGCCTGCCTTGGTCTCCCAAAGTGCTGGGATTACAGGTGTGAGCCCCTGTGGCCAGCCAGCTGTCACCTCTTAGGAGAGCGAGTGGCTAGAGGTGGCTGGAGCTCAGCGCTTCCCTGCGGGGCTGCCACCAGGGGTGTTATGGGGGTGCCTGAGTGAACCGGTCCCCCAGTCTCCCTCATCACCAGCCCTGTCGTTCTGCCGCAGGGGTCTCCCCACCGACCGGTACATGTGGAGTGACGCCTCGGGACTGCAGGAGTGCACCAAGGCTGGCACGAAGCCCCCGTCCCTGCAGTGGGCCTGGGTGAGGCCCCGCCGCCCCATGGGGGATTGGGAATCTGCCCGCCCACCCCTCCTTGCCCTTCCTCGAGTGTTCTGACTGCCCCCTGGATTTGGGGGGCTCCCATCTTCACTGACCCACTCCTTCCAGGTTTCTGACTGGTTCGTGGATTTCAGCGTACCAGGGGGCACAGACCAGGAGGGGTGGCAGTACGCCAGCGACTTCCCTGCGTAAGCCTCTCCCTGTGCAGGGCCTTCAGGCTGGGTCCTGAGCATCAGGGCCCTGGAGGGCATGGCCCCCAGCCTCACTGCTCTGCCAGGCTGAACCCTACCCCCTAAGCCTGGAGAACTCTGGCTCCCCAGCCCCTGGCCTCGCCAAGGAGCAGACCCCAGGTGCCAGCCCAGTTCCTGCAGGGGGAGGAGCCAGTGGAGGAGCTGGGAGGGGCCCAGGGGAGCACTCCCTGCACACCTGGCACCCTGGGCCTTGGGGCGCGGCACAGGTAGGAACTCCATGGCTCCCCCACAACAGGCTTATCTCTGCCGTGCTGGGCCTGGGCTCTGGGAGGGTCAGATGGTAGCACCCGGGGCGCCAGACTGAGGGGGCTTGAGGACAGCCTTAGCAGTGTCAGCTCTGGGAGGCTTTGAGCCAGGCCCTGAGTGATGGGGGGCCCAACATGAGATGTCATGTGAAGGGGCAGTGTGAGCCCCTCCAAGAGACGTGGTCGCCGTCTTCGGAGGCCCTGGACCCTGGCAGCACAGGCGCATGGCGTGGGCTGGGCCTTCACAGCACAGTCTCAGCCTGTCCAAGGGAGACAGAGCCAGGACAGCCTGAGCTGGGGCCCAGAGCCAGAAGCTTCTGAGCAGGCCAAGACCATCCCCTCAGCCACAGCCAGGCCTCTCAGACCACCCTCCCCCAGCCGCGGGCCTCAACCTGACCCAGGGCTCTTGCTCCCCAAAAGGGCTCTGACAGGGCCTGGGGAGGGGAAGGCTGAGTCCCCTTCGCCTGACCCCTGATAGGCAACTGCTATGGCCTAGCCCCAGGAAGGCCCCGACGCCCTTCCCCAGGGAGCCCCCAACCTGTGGGAGACACCAACCCCTGGGAGGCCCTCCCTGCAGGTCCCTGGGGCTGCGCTCAGCCCTGACCCCACTGAGACAGCCAGGAAGCATCTCCCGAGAGCCATGCGTGGTGACACCTCCTCCTCTGAACCTGATCTGTGGCTTCTGCCCAGGCTCTATGCCCTGTCCAGGTAGAACAAGAATGTTTGCATGCAGGGACTTTCCAGAAACTTCCACGAAGTGGCCCTGATTTCATCTTCTTCCTTCTTGCAGCTCATACCATGGGTCCAAAACGATGAAGGATTTTGTGAGGAGGCGGTGCTGGGCCAGGTGAGGCAGGGCCGCAGCGTGACTGTCAGCAATGTCAGGCTCCTGGAGGAGCCGCCCCTGAGGGAGCGCTGGTTCCCCACACCCCAGGCCGATCTCCCGGCTCTGACCTCAGTCCCAGGGGAAGAAGCAGTGGGGAGTGGGGTGAAGAGGGAAGCCGAGTCTAAGTAAATGTCAGCCCAGGAAATGCCCGCGGGCTCCCAACGCTCTCTGGTTTCAGAAGAGTTTGTTTTCATGAACAAATAAATGTCACTGGCATGCTCTGCTTGTGAGCTGGACAGAGAACGGGGCCTGGTTGGGGGTGGGGGTGGGGCGGGAGCCACCTCTGGGCCCCTCTTTCCACCATTCCGGGGTGGACTGCTTTCCTCCTCCTGGCTCCAGCGGAAAGAGGCCCTGGAGCCTGGCGGTCACCTTGGGGTCCTCGGGCTGAGCCCCCTCTCCACTGTACAGAAAATGCAAGCTGGTGACCAGCGGGCCCTGGCTGGAGGTGGCCCCCATCGCCCTCAGGGACGTGTCCATCATCCCGGAGAGCCCGAGTGCTGAGGGGAGCGGGCACAGCATTGCACTCTGGGCCATCAGCGACAAGGGGGACGTGCTGTGCCGCCTGGGCGTGTCGGAGCTCAACCCAGCGGTGAGCGCCAGGCCTGGCAGATTCCTCCTGAAATGAGGACCCTTGCTCTGGAGTCCGGCTGGGCTTGGACCCTGTTCAGGACAAGCCCCTGGGACCAGTGGACACCGCCTGTGGCCCGAGTGGGTCCCTGCGCCTTGGGACAGTTGGCCAAGAAATGAGGCTGGTGGGGCGGGGGCAATGGAGGTGGGCCGAGGGGTACCTCGGCTCTTTGTCGCCCAGTCCTTGATGGTCAGCACCCTGGTGAGGTGCACACGCCCACTGGGGTGCTTTCCCTGCTTACAGGAGGATGAGATGCACCCAGGAGTTCAATGAGCACGGAGATCAGGCCGGGTGGGGCTGTGTGACCCCAGTTGTCCCCCAGCCACCGGTGCTGCCCACCCACCAGGCCCATTTCTGCTGGGCCTGGAGGTGGGGCCTGGGGATGGGGCCCCGGTGACCTCAGCACCCCTCCTCGCCGTCTGCAGGGCTCCTCCTGGCTGCACGTTGGCACCGACCAGCCCTTCATGTCCATCTCCATCGGGGCCTGCTACCAGGTGTGGGCCGTGGCGAGGGATGGCTCCGCCTTCTACCGGGGCTCCGTGTACCCCTCGCAGCCAGCCGGTGAGTGCCACACTCCAGGAGCCCCTGCTTGGCTCAGCTTCAGTCCAAGCAGACGTTTGCTGAGCATCCCCTTGGGGCCAGGTGCCAGGGCTGAGCCAGGGTCCCCCAGAAGCCATGTCCCCTCCCACTGGGACTGACCAGGAGGTGGTCACCCTGGTGATATGGCAGCCGGAGCCAGGCCTGCCCCCACCTTCCCATGGGGCCCTGCAGGGCCCACTCCACAGTGACCACTCTGGTGGCCGCCCGGGAGGATGGGCTGTGCTGGCTTGTCCTTCGCCAGATGTCCAGTGTCCAACACAGGGTACACTGGTACTCAGCTGCCCTCCACACAGTGATGGGTTAGCCAGGCGGCCCCTGAGGCTGGGTCTCCACCGTGGGCGGGGCTGGAAACTTTCATGTTGCACTGGCGAGATGAGTCCATCAGAGCAAGCCATGGCTTCCAGAGAAGCCCCAGGACGGCAAGGCACAGGTCAGCTCTGTGAGGCCCACAGCTGACACCTGGCTACACATCTGAGATACAGCTGGAGACGAGGCCCACAGCCCCGCCTGTCCCATGTGAGCAGGAGGAGGCCGTGTGCCTAAGTCAGCTTGCTCTTTGCAGGTGACTGCTGGTACCACATCCCGCCGCCCCCAAGACAGAGGCTGAAGCAGGTGTCCGTCGGGCAGACGTCAGTGTATGCCTTGGATGACAACGGCAAGTAGCTCTTTTTAAAATTTTTTTAATGTTTTGGCCAGGCCCAGTGGCTCACGCCTATGATCCCAGTACTTTAGGAGGCTGAGGCGGGCAGATAACCTGAGATCAGGAGTTAGAGACCAGCCTGACCAACATGGTAAAACCCCATCTCTACTAAAAATACAAAAATTAGCCAGGCATGGTGGCGAGGGCCCATAATCCCAGCTACTTGGAAGGCCGAGTCAAGAGAATCACTCGAACCCGGGAGGCGGAAGCTGCAGTGAGCCAAGAGCACCACTCAAGGACAGAGCAAGATTCTGTTTAAAAAAAAAAAAAAGAAAAGAAAAGAAACCTTTAATTTTTGTGGGTACTGAAGGTTCAAGCTGCAGAAGTTGTAGTGAACCAAAATTGTGCCACTGCATTCCAGCCTGGGCAACAGAGCGAGACTCCTTCTCAAAAGAAATAATTATTTCTTGCTGTAGCTACCCTATTGGGCCCGCAAACACTGGGTCTGATTCACTCTTTGGACTATTGTTTTGGCAAGTGGTTCTTCTGATGTAAGACCTCACTAACCACCATACAAGGCGCCCGGCTGACGTCAGCCTCTGCTGACCACACCCAGCCTCTTCTTATTTGTTTAAATAATTCCTTGCCCTCATTTATTTTTATTTCTATAGCTTTAGGGGTACAAATTGTTTATGGTGACACGGATGAGTCACATAGCAGTGAAGCCTGAGATTTCAGTGTACCCGTCAGCCAAGTAGTGTACCTTGTACCCGATACGTAGTGCTTTATTTCTCACCCCCTCCCAACCTACCCCCTCCTGAGTCTCCATAATATTCACACTGCATGCCTTTGATTACCCATAGCTCAGCTCCCACTTGTAAGTGAGAACATGTGGTAATTGATTTTCTATTCCCGAGTTACTTCACTTAGAATGATGGCCTCCAGTTCCACCCAACTTGCTGCCAAAGACTCGATCTCATTCTTTTTATGGCTGCATAATATTCCATGGTGTATGCGTACCACATTTTCTGTGTCCACTCCTCAATGGTGGGCACTTACCCTGGTCCATATCTGTGCAGTTGTAAACTGCTGCAGTAAACATGCATGTGCAAGCGTCTTTTCCATATAATGACTTCTTTTCATTTGTGAAGATGCCCCACAGTGGGATTGCTGGATGGAACGACAGATCTATTTTCAGTTCTTTGAGACATCTCTGTACCATTTTCCATAGAGATTAGTGCGAATTTACATTCCCACCAGCAGCGAATAAGCATTCCCTTTTACTTTCACCATATCTATACCAACATCTATTTTGTTTTGTTTTGTTTTGTTTTTGAGATAGGGTCTTGCTCTGTCTCCCAAGCTGAAGTGCAGTGGTGTGATCTCAGCTCACTGCAACCTCCACCTCCTAGGTTCAAGCGATTCTCCTGCCTCAGCCTCCTGCGTAGCTGAGACTTCAGGTGCCCACCACCACACCTGGCTAATCTTTGCATTTTTAGTAGAGATGAGGTTTCACCATGTTAGCCAGGCTGGTCTCCAACTTCTGACCTCAAGTGATCCACCCACCTCAGCCTCCTAAAGTGCTGGGATTACAGGCATGAGCCGCTGTACTTGGCTCTATTGTTTTTTGACTTTACAATAATGGCCAGTCTTGCAGAAATAAAGTGGTATTAGTATCTCATTGTGGCTTTGATTTGCACTTCTCTGATGATTAGTGGTGTTGAGCAATTTTTCATGTTTGTTGGTCATTTGCATATCTTCTTTTGAGAAATTTCTATTCATGTCATTTGCCCACTTTTGATGGGATTATTGGTTTATTTTGTGTGTGTGTGCTGATTTGTTTGAGTCCTCATAGATTCTGGATATTAGTCCTTTGTCAGTTGCATAGTTTGCAAATATTTTCTCCCATCCTGTGGGTTGTCTGTTTACTCTGATGATTATTTCTTCTGCTATGCAGAAACTTTTTAGTTTAATTAGGTCTCCTTTATTTATTTCTGTTTTTGTTGCATTTGCTTTTGGGATCTTAGTCATAAATTCTTTGCCTAGGCCAAGCTCTTAAATAGTTTTTTCTAGGTTTTCTTGTAGAATTTTTATGGTTTTAGGTCTTAGATGTAAGTCTTTGATCCATGTTGAGTTGATCTTTTTATATGGTGAGAAATATGGATCCAGTTTCATTCTTCTACATGCAACTCTCCAGTTTTCCCAACAGCATTTATTAAACAGGATGTCCTTTCCTCAATTTATGTTTTTGTATGCTTCCTCAAAGATCAGTTGGTTGTAAGTGTCTGGCTTTATGTCTTGGTTCTCTCTTCTGTTCCATTGGTCTATGTGTCTGTTTTTATAGCAGCACCATACTGTTTTGGTTACTGTAGGCTTGTAGTATAATTGAAGTCCAGTAATGTGGTGCCTTCAAATTGGTTATTTTTGGTTAGGATTGTTTTGAGCATTCAGCCTCTTTTTTGGTTTCATATGAATTTTAGAATTTTTTTTTTCTAATTCTGTAAAAAATGATGTCAGTATTTTTTTTTTTTTTTTGAGACGGAGTTTCACTCTTGTTACCCAGGCTGGAGTGCAATGGCACGATCTCGGCTCACCGCAACCTCCGCCTACTGGGTTCAGGCAATTCTCCTGCCTCAGCCTCCTGAGTAGCTGGGATTACAGGCACGCACCACCATGCCCAGCTAATTTTTTGTATTTTTAGTAGAGACGGGGTTTCACCATGTTGACCAGGATGGTCTCGATCTCTTGACCTTGTGATCCACCCGCCTCGGCCTCCCAAAGTGCTGGGATTACAGGCTTGAGCCACCGCGCCCGGCCTGATGTCAGTATTTTAATAGAAATTGCATTGAATCTGTAGATTGCTTTAGGCAGTATGGTCATTTTCATGATATTGATTCTTCCATTGATTCACCCCATACTCATCAATCCATGAGTATGGGATATATTACTCATCAATCCATGAATATGGGATGTATTTCCATTTGTTTCTGTCATCTATGATTACTTTCAGCTGTGTTTTGTGGTTCTCCTTGTAGAGATCTTTCACCTCCTTGGTTAAGTACATGCCTAGGTATTTTATTTTTTGCAGCTGCTGTAAAAGGGGTTAGATTCTCAATTTGATTCTCAGTTTGGTTGCTGTTGGCATGTAGCAGTGCTACTGATTTATGTACGTTGATTTTGTAACCTGAAACTTTCCTGAACTCATTTATCAAATCTAAGAGTCTTTTGGAGGAGTCTTTAGGGTTTTCTAGGTATATGATCATATCATGGGCAAACAGAAACACCGTGACTTCCTCTTTTTTGACTTGGATGCCCTTTCCTTCCTTTTCTTGCCTGATTGCTCTGGCTAGGACTTCCCTTGTCCTCAGTTTCTGCCTCCACAGAAACAGGATCAGGACACCGGCCATGCCCAGCACAATAGGGTGATTATGAGTCTTGGGGGATGCCCAGAATGTGCAGAGGGCAGAGTTGGCTGCAGCCTAGGCTCCCGAGTGTGGAGAAGCGGAGGAGGCTATGGCCTCGACTCAGGTTCCAGGACTCTCCTGCCCCGCAGCAGCTTCCAAGACCCGGAAGTGGTTAGAGTGGGCCTGGCCCTGGGTTGCTGGGCCGCAGGGGCAGAATAGTCTTCCCCTTTGACCCTCACTGCTTCTCTCCCCAGGAAACTTGTGGTATCGCCAGGGGATCACGCCCAGCTACCCGCAGGGCTCCAGCTGGGAGCATGTGTCCAACAACGTGTGCCGAGTGTCCGTGGGGCCCCTGGACCAGGTGGGGGCGCTCAAGGGGTGTCATGCTCTTGGGGTGCTCCAGTTCCCTCTCATGTCTCCCCCATCCTGTGCCCAGCCGTCTCAGTGCAGCTGGGTCCAGGGAATTCATGGCATCTGTGCTCCAGGTCTGGGTGATCGCCAGCAAAGTGCAGGGCAGCCACAGCCTGAGCCGGGGGACGGTGTGTCATCGCACAGGCGTGCAGCCCCACGAGCCCAAGGGCCAGAGCTGGGACTACGGCATCGGGGTGAGCGGGGCCCTTGGCTGGGACTATGTGATCCCCTTGTGCCTGCACTGGGCGCTAAAGACGGGGACGGCCACTGTGGGACAGTTCCCTGGGACCCAGTGTCGGAATTGGAGGGAGGCCCCCAGGCAGAGCCCCTTGGCACCCTCAAGCCCCTGCGTCCCTGGTGATACAGCTCTCTCCTTCCAGGGAGGCTGGGACCACATCTCTGTCCGGGCCAATGCCACCAGGGGCCCCCGGAGCTCATCCCAGGAGCAAGAGCCGAGTGCTCCACCAGAAGCCTATGGCCCCATCTGCTGCTGAGGCGCCCCCCCACACCTAGATGCAGGGATGGTGCCCAGTTTGGAGGATCAAGGCTGAGCCATTCTTGTGCTGAAGTGTGCAGTGGTGGAGGGATGTCACCCAGGTGGACTCAGGAGGGAACCTGGCCCCGAGGCTGTGGCCACTTCAGAGGCACTGGCTGAGACAGCCCTGAAATGTGAAGCTCTGCAGACACTACTGCACGTGTCCCTGTCTGCGAAAGAGCCCCAGGGTGTGGGGCGTGGGGTGGGAGCTGTACCTCCCAGAGGCCCCGGCCCCTCCCACCCTTCCCTTATGCCTCTCCTTCCTGCCTTTCCAGGACTAGAACCTGGAACCTGGAGCCCGCCAGGAGCACGGGCCCTGGGGCAGCAGAGCCCAGGATGGAGCCCTACTGAGCTGGCATCTCAGACAGCACCTGGGTCCTGCCTCCCCCAACCAAGAGAGACGGCCGTTGGGGCTCAGGGCTTCTTTACCATGTGCAGTGACCCTTTCTTAGAGCAGGACTTGCAAGGAGGCTTTAATTTCACAAGTGAAGGAAGGAGGCTGGGTAAGGTGGCTCACGCCTGTAATCCCAACACTTTGGGAGGCTAAGGCGGGCAGATCACCTGAGGTCAAGAGTTCAAGACCAGCCTGGCCAACATGGTGAAATCCAGTCTCTACTAAAAATACAAAAATTAGCCAGGCATGGTGGTGCATGCCTGTCATCCCAGCTACTCGGGAGGCTGAGGCAGGAGAATTGCTTAAACCTAGGAAGCAGAGGTTGCAGTGAACTGAGATGGTGCCACTGTCCTCCAGCCTGGGCGACAGAGCGAGATTCCTCCTCCAGTGGCAGGCATGAGCCACCTCAGCCGGCCCACGGCTGCTTTTGATCCCTTGTGCCCCATTTGGGGGTTTGCTTCCTCCACCTGGACACTGCCCAGGAGGTCATCAGACCCCAGCTTCAGGCTCTGCTCAGTTGGAGAGGGGATGACTTTGCCACCTCTTGACCTTCCTGGGGTTCTGGTCTCATTTTCAGCAGGGAGTCTGTTGTCTGTTATCTGTTCAGTTTTGCTGTATGGGGTTTGTCACCCAAAAGCTGATGCTGAGAAAGGTCTCCCTGGGGCCCCTCCCACAGGCATCTGAGGGACCTGGCATTCCTGTGTTTCTGGAAGTAGGTCCTGGTGCCACCAGGTGTGAGCTCTCAGATCAATCATGGGAAGGGCCTGGCGGCGGCAGCCACCTACAACCACCCTGTCCTGTCTGTTTACATTTCACTATCAGGTTTTCTCTATGTGGGCATTACGGTCTGTTCCCCTACAACAGTGACCTGTGCATTCTGCTGCGACCTGCTGTGTCTGCAGGTGGCTCTCAGCAAGGCATGGGGAGGGCCTCACCCTGCAGGACAGCAGAGTGATGCGTCCTCTCGCTGCTGAGCACCAGCAGTTTACCTGCCTAGCATCAGGTCCTCAGATGCTTTACTCAATAAACATTTCCCCTGGAGTGTCAGCACCATACTGTTTTTATCGATAAATTGATTAAAACACGCCGCTCCCTGCGCGCTTGAACTAGCCATTGCCATGAAATCTTTTATTTTTGCTTTGTGACACAGCATCATTTCATGAATACTTTGAAGGGGCCATAAGAAAAAATAAGAGCCAATTTGGGTCATTTGAGAAACATTTTCAGCACAATTGCAGCAGGGGCACGGGCCCTTCAGCTCCAGCTGGGTTTTCCCAGATGGAACAATTGCGGTTCTGGCTTCTCCGCTGATGGGGATGGGGATGGGGATGGGGATCATGCCTCTGGAGCTCTCAGGGCACCTGTCTGCGGGGGGGTGGGTGTGCCCACGGCCCTGGGGGACATCGAGGGAGTCTCTGACCCGCTTGTCCAGGGACTTGAGGAAACTCATCCCGATGGCCAAGGCAGGGGCTCCCCACAGGATAAAAGGATCCAGCCTGACCTTGGGGTCCAAGAGGAGGGCCAAGGGGGTGGACATGGCCCCTGTCCCCTCTCCTCCTTGAAACACTGGACACCCCAGAGTGGGACTATGGCTGCTGAGGATCCTGTGTGCTGTGGCCACAGGGCATCCCCTCTGTCCTAAGGGGATGAAGGACTCAGCGGCTCTGCCCAGGTCACCCTCTAGGAAGCAGAGGGGTGGAGGTGCCAGTTCAGGGCAGAACTCGCCAGTTCAGGGCAGAACAACTCGCCAGTTCAGGGCAGAAACCATTGTCCTGAAGGCAGCCACCCCCAGGCCCTCCTGCTGCCCTGGGGAAAGCCTGGGCTCTAGCTGGATGCTGGGCACGGTCTCCATCTCCTGGATCGAGGCTCCTCTGGGTTTTCAGGCTCAGCTTGTTGGTCCATTCAGAAAGTTCAGGGGCGTACCAGGCCCTGCTCTGGCCACAACTCAGCCGGAAACAAGAGCTGCCAGGTTTGTAGTGCCTGAGTGCCCCCAATGGTGAGGTCTCTGTCATCTTGTGTCCCCACTGGGCAGGTGCCCTGCAGGGAGGCCCAGGCTTTCTCTGTCCCAAGCTCTCAGCTGCATCACCCTCAGCTCACAGGGATGGATCACCCTGACCTTCCAGAGCACCCCCTCCCAAGAGACAGACCCAGCAGCCTGGGGTCCCCACCCTGAGTCGTGCTGAAGGACAGCTGGGGCGGTAGGGCCAGGACCAGACCAGGCCTCTGATTGAGTCTCATTGAAATGAGACCAATGTGCCTGGGCCACTTTTCAGAGACCCTGACCAGGAAAGTTAGGCCTAAAGCGGCCAATGCCAGATCCTCAGGGTGTCACCTGTGTCCTTAATGTGGCCAGGGCTGACTCCAAGCCTGCCGCTGCATTCAGCATCTGGTGCCAAGATCTCCAACTTGGGAGGGCAAGGCCACCTGGTGGGGACAGGCCAGCCAGAGCCCAGGGCCTCTGCTATGGCAGCCACATCCCTGGCCCAGCGTGGCCCTGAGGGCCTTTGGGACATCTCTGGGCAGAGGCACGAGGGAGGGGAGAGCCAAGAGCTAGTGGGGCAGGAATGCCCAGCAGAAGGAAGCTGAGCTTGGGGCAGCAGGGACGTGCCAAGTCACCAGGCCTGGCCATGAGGACGAAGCACCTGGGCAGGGGAAGGGACGAAACTGCCACCCCCAGGCTCCACCATGCAGAGGGCCTTGCGGGTTGCCAACTCAAACCAGGACACAAGCACATTGTAATGTCCTACAGACAACATGGTGCCAATTACATGACAACCCACACCAGAGACAATAAGTAATGGCAGAGGCAGGGCTGGGGGGGCACACTCGCTCCCTGCATAGGTGAGGGCTGAGCAGGAGGCCTCAGAGCTATCTTGGGGAGTGACCCAGGGTCTCGGGACTTCTCTCCCATGCCCAGAAGGACTGTGCTTGGAACACCCTGCCCTGTCTCCTGCTCCAGCTCCACGGTGCCCCTCAGACTCTGCCCCAGACCCTCCACAACCTGGCACAGCCTGGAGTTACCACCTCCAAGAGCCCGGACTCAGAGGGAGGAAGAGACTCCAGCCCCTCCCCACCATTCAACCTTTGAGGATGAATGTGAGGTCATCTGCCCCGAACCGCCTTGGGCTCTGCCAGGCTTGTCCTGGGCCTCAGTTTACCCCAAATAAGGGCGCTAAGCCCAGGCCCCATGCAGACCTACAATGAAGGTTGGAGGGGGGTTCCTTGCAGGGCGTTGGCCTTGGAAAATCTGTAAATAACCTTTTCCTGGGATCTCCCCTTGCCCTGGAGGAAGTTGGGGTGAAGAGAGTTTAGTTCCGAAGCTAAGGAGGGCCTTTCATCGCCCGCTGAAACCACCTGGCTCAATGAAAAAGGAGGACCGCCTGGGCCCTACCCAGAGGTTTGGGCCTCATGCTGCTGTCTGGGGCCACAGCCCACTCGCTGGTCCCCAGCTGGGCAGGAAAAATTGCTCCAGGGAAGTGACTGAATGTTGGGGGAAAATGGAGCCGCTGGGGCCACGTCCTCATGGGGTGTCACCCGTCTGGGCTTCATGGCTTGAAGGCCGGGGCTGGGAGAAGCAGGCTGGGCCACCACAGCCACCGCCACCCCCCCCTCAACAGCCAGGCACTAGGTGCCCTCTCGGAAGCTGTGGATCTGCGTGGAGTACCTCTGCAGGTGACCCTGGGGCTGGGCCTCTATGGCCCCCAGTGCACCCCCGGCGGCCTGCTGCTGCTGCTGGTAGTGCTGGTAGAGCTTGGGACCCGGCCCCTCCAGGCCTGGGAGGCGGCCACTGGACATGGCGAGGATGGTGGCCGTCAGCGATTTGATGTAGTTCTTGGCCAGTGTGAGAGTCTCGATCTTGGAGAGCTTCTTGTCGGCGCGCACGTGGGGGATGACCTCGCGTAGGGCCTGGAAGGCGTTATTGAGCTTGTGCATTCGCTGCCGCTCCCGCTCGTTGCTCTCCAGCCGCCGCTGGATGCTGCTGTCCCGACGGCCCCCAGGCCCTGACGGTCCTGGCCGCCTGCGCCCGCCCTCGCCCCCGCCCCGAGGCCCTGCTGCTGCTCGGGCTGGCCGGCTCCGCAGACTCTTGGCCGGCTCTGGGCCCGGGCTGGGCAGGGGCCCATCGAGAGTCCCCTCCCCGGGGGTGGCCTCTGTGTCCTGCACCGGGGCCCGGCGCCGCGGGGGCCGGTTCTTGGTCTTCATGGCCCTGGACTGGCTGTCCCAGGAGGTGGTGGCAGGGAGATGAGGCCCTTGGAGCTGAAATCCAGAACACAGGACACTCTGTGGTCACCCCACACGGACAGGAGACCCGCTGGGGTGCCATCCCCGGCAGCTTCCTCCTGCTAACAGCAATGGTACCAGGGGCAGGGGTTGGTGCTCAACTCCTGGAGGTCCTTCTGTTTACACCTTAGCCCTGGGCTGACCCCACACCCCACCATGACCCTGCTTCACCTCATACAGACCCCTGGAACCTGTCCCCATCCCTGTGTCCCCCTTTCCCCTGGTTGACACCCCGATCCCCGGATCTTTCTCTGGTCCCATGCCCCTCACTGCCCTCCGAATGCCTCCTGAGCTCGGTGACCTTTGCACTTTGCCTAGACCACCCTGAGATGTGTCCCCCACCCTAGCTTAGGGGGCGCCTCTGCCGAGGGCGGCATTCACTCCTTCGCCCATAGGCAGGCAGTGACTCCAGCCACCAGGCTCTCGCTGTCCTGCCCCACTGGACCTGACACGCGCAAGGACAGCGCTAGAGCCAGAACCACTGCAGACATGGGGCAGCCATGGAGGTCAGAGGTCGGCAATGGCCAGGGCCTGGCGATAGCCCCCAGTGCCACCACGTGGATGGCCCCCGTGGGGGCTCCAGACAGACCCCAAGTCCCCCACCCAGGTTTCCCCCCAACCCCCACAACCCCATCGCTAGGTCCTGCCCCTGGGTCCTCTCCCCGCGGCGCTCTACGAGTTCCCAGCTCCCGGGTTACCTGGGGATCCGCGGCCGCACGCGCCGAGGCTGCCCACGGGGGACAAGGACACGTCGCTTTAGCCGCCCCGGGCGGGGCCGCAGACTCATGCAAATGAACCCTCGGGGCGGGGCCGGGGCGGAGCCGGGGTCTGGGTGTCCCGGGCGGGCGCGGGGCGGCGGTGGCTGCACCTGCGGCGGGCGGGCGGCGCCCGGGGCTCTCGGACCAGGTGGCCGCACAGCCCCGCCCCCCAGCTTCCGCCCCGCCCCCAAGACAGAGAGCCGCCCCCACCAGCTCTCCCCATCCTCTCCCTACAGCACCCCCACCCTCGTCCCCCCAGACAGCCGCCCCCACCCGCCCCTCCCCATCCTCTCCCTACAGCACCCCCACCCTCGTCCCCCCAGACAGCCGCCCCCACACGCCTCTCCACAACCTTCCCCTCTAGCCTCCGCCACCCGCCCCGAGATGGCTTCCCCGCATCCATCTCTCCCCATCCTCCCCCTACAGCCCCTTCAAGACAGCCCGCGTCCCTGTCTCCCCTACTTGTCTCCCAGAACAGCCTCTCCAAACTGGTTTTCCTCATCCTCCCCCTCAGTTTCCGCCCGCACCTCCCCCACATTCGTGCGCGAGACAGCCTCCCACACCCGCTTTTCCCCGACCCTCCCCCATCACAGCACCCCCGCATCCATGCCTCCCGCGACCCTCCTTCCCCGTTCCCTCCACTTGTGGCGGGGCCCCAGGCCCATTCCGCAGATGGGGAAACTGAGGTCTCTGGGAGCTGCCCGGCGCAGGGGCAGCCCGGGTTCAGGCTCAGAACACAGATCCCAGGTCCCAGGAGCACTCGAGGAGGAACGGCTCCGCGAAAACGCCGGCATCTCACAGGGGCTCCTGCGCCTTGCCGCCTGGGATGGTTAGGGGACCCTGGGGCACCTACGCGTGGACCCCGAACTGGGGTGGGAGTGGGGGGGTCTCCCTGGGCAGGTGTGCGGTCCATAGGAACGCGTTTGTTTTTTGTTTTTTGGTTTTTTTTTGAGACAGAGTCTCGCTCTGTCGCCCAGGCTGGAGTGCAGTGGCGCCCTCTCAGCTCACTGCAACCTCCGCCCCCCGGGTTCAAGCGATTCTCCTGCCTCAGCCTCCCGAGTACCTGGGATTACAGGCGCGCGCTACCAAGCCCAGCTAATTTTTGTATTTTTAGTAGAAACGAGGTTTCACCACATTGGCCAGGCTGGTCTCGAACTGCTGACCTCAGGCGATCCATCCACCTTGGCCTCCCAAAGTGCTGGAATTACAGGTGTGAGCCACTGCGCCCAGCGGTTTTTATGGGCTCTGGGTCTCCATCTGTCTTGGGCTCAAAACAAGCTCTGCTGCCCCTTGCCTCAGTTTCCTCACCAGTTACAGGGGGATTAAAAAGTGCTTAAAGCAGCAGTTTTTTTGTTTTTGGTTTTTTTTTTTTTTTTTTTTGAGACAGAGTCTGGCTCTGTCACCAGGGTGGAGTGGAGTGCTGTGATCTCGGCTCACTGCAACCTCCACCTCCTGGCTTCAAGCAATTCTCCTGCCTCAACTTCCCAAGTAGCTGGGACTATAGGCGCACGACACCATGCCCAGCTAATTTTTGTGTTTTTAGTTGAGATGGGGTTTCACCATGTAGGCCAGGCTGTTTCAAACTCTTGATCTCAAGTGATCCGCCACCTTGGCCTCCCAAAGTGTTGGGATGACAGGCGTGAGCCACCGTGCCCAGCCAAAGCAGCATCTTGCTCAGGGACCATTCAGGGCTGCTCGGGGTGCAGTGACTGCCTGAGTCTCACTGGCTGGCGGGCCTGGGCTCCACACCCATGGGTCTCGCTGCCCTGTCTTAGTACCTCTAGGTGGGGACTCAGAGGGTCCATGGGGTGGGCACGGAAAGGCTGACTTGGAGCCAAGGTTAGTTCTTCTCTTGGCCTAGAGCTCATTTGAGGCTGGGCCAAAGGAGGTCCTTGGAAATGAAAATGCTTCCAAAATTCTTGAGTGCAAAGGTGTGGATTATAGACATGCTTCAAGGTGGCGCAAACACTAAACAAATTTGGTTTTCCAGGGGTTACACGAAGCTTTGTGCCCTCCAGTGCAGGGAATTTAGGTCTGTCCTGGTAACACAATCTTGGGCTCAAAACCAGCTCTGCTGCCAACTGGCTTTTTGGGATTGCCCCCTGCCTCAGTTTCCTCACCGGTTACAGGGGGATTAAAAAGCGCTTAAAGCATTTTTTTTTTCTTTGAGACGGAGTCTTGCTACCTGGGAGACCCAGAGCCCATAAAAAACCAGCTGGGCTCGGTGGCTCACAGCTGTAATCCCACCACTTTGGGAGGCCGAGGTGGAGGGATCACTTGAGGTCAGGAGTTCGACACCAGGCCAACACGGTGAAACCCTGTCTCTACTAAAATACAAAAATTAGCTGGGCATGGTAGCGTGCGCCTGTAATCCCAGCTACTCGGGAGGCTGAGGGAGAACTGCTTGAACCCAGGAGGCGGAGGTTGCAGTGAGCTGAGATGGCGCCACTGCACTCCAGCCTGGGCAACAGAGTGAGACTCCGTCTCAAAACAAAAAAAAACCGGGGGACAAGGGCGGTGGCCACGGGGCACAAGCTTCGGGTGCTCACGGCAGGGCAGGACCAGGCCACCCACCTGGGTGTCCCTTGCACGGTGGACAAAATACAGAAGAAACGCTACAACAGAGTTTATAAATATATAACTATATTTATTTTGAATATTAAATAGTTTTTAAATTACAAGCAATTTGTTCAATCACACTATGCATCAATATACAGTAAAAATCTTACAATTTAAAAATGTACACAATTTAAACTGAAAGTCCATTGACTGTTATATTGCCGTGAACCTCTTTTGCCTGTGTTAAAGGACAGCAGGGAGGCCTGGTGGGTATGGCGGCCCGTGTCCTCCCCTGCACACGGAATCCGACAGTAGATAAATACACCAGTCCCATGATGAAGATACCGGCACATGTCCATGCCCGTCAAACTCATCTTCACAGGCTGTTGGTAATTCAATACTGTCAACACATCTTTAAGAATTTATAGACGAAAGAGAATGTTCTTTGTAAATGAAGAATTGAGCCAACCCCACTGCTACCTAGGAATATTGTTTTGGAGATTTCCATTGGAAGTCACTGTGAACACCCCTTCTTTTTATAAGGCTACTTCTCATAAGGCTCATGTTTTGAAGCCCCTCTAACAGAAGCCCAACCTTTGGGGGCGTCTAACCCTTGGTTGACTTCTGAATTTTCAGATGATGGGCTGAGTCGGGGAAGAGTCAGGCAGTGCCTTCCTTCTACCGGGCCCTGGGGACAGACGTGCGGAAGGCCCTTAACTCTACAGACACCCTACGGAGAACAAGGATAAAAGGAGGGGGTTCGGAAAGGCCTTTTACAGCAGCAAGACATCCCAAGACTTTTCTATCAGATAAACCCATTTCTATAGAAACAATTGAACCTGGACATTGAAAAATAGAATGGATGCTGCCTGCAATTTAGCTTGGTCAAGCTTTCTGCGCCCTGATGATGAATGGCTTCTCGTCCAGACACACAGGCCACCAAGTCGCAGAAGGATTTGGGGAGCACTTTTTCTGTGTTGCCCTTTCTGGCTTATTGACGGGGTCATTTGAAAAGACAAATTAGCATCTAGCTAGAAAGAGAATGAAAGCTAGCTTATTTTTGTTACAGGATTTAAAATGTGCAAACTCTACCAAAGTAGGACTAATTCAGATTGATTCTGGGTTGGTACCCACAGAAGGCCAGAAAATATTCTAACCTTCCCCCACGTTGTCTAGAGAGTGCCACTGATTTATTTCATCGTACAACTTATTGGAGTAAGTACATTTTGAAAACCCGCCAATGGTAACCAACTTATTAGTTAAAAAACAACAAAAAACTGAGCCGAACACAGCACATGCTGACATCTGAAAAAATGGGCTGCAATATTTATTCTACTTAAATTTCCTGGGTATTGCTTGAGATCTCAAAAGAACATGTTAACCCACATGTTGATTATAAATATAAAATCTTCCCCTCCATGCAACACCACAAAGATCCACTACCCCCCCAACTCAATGTAGAAAATGCTTTTTTGACAATTAATTATGAGTGACTCAAAATAAATAAAAATGGGAACTGTGTTGTTAAAATCTTTTTATTTATTTATTTCTGAGGCAGGGTCTGGCTCTGTCACCCAGGCTAGAGTACAGTGGCATGATCTCGGCTCATTGCAACCTCCATCTCCCGGGCTCAAGCCATCCTCTCGCCTCAGCCTCCCAAGTAGCTGGGACTACAGGTGCACACCACTATGCGCCCAACTAGTTTTTTTTTAATTATTATTTTTTTATTTTTTGTAGAGACGGGGTTTCGCCATGTTGTCCCCAGGCTGATCTTGAATTCCTGGGCTCAAGGCGATCTACCAGCCTCGGCCTCCCTGCAATGCACTGGGATTGCAGGCATGAGCCACCGTGCCCGGCCAAAATCTTAATCCTGGTGGAAAATGGACAGTCCCAAAAGGTCAATAAATTTCCTTGAGGCTGACACTGTATAAGAAGACGACAGATTCCATGGATCTGTGTGACTTTGGTCATTAAATCTGAACTCCTTAAACCTGCAACTGGAAAAAGCAGTATAATCACGTCTCATTTCTCCTCAGCCAAGACTAATCTTAGATGTAGAAACTGAGAAAACTCAGGAAGTCCCACAGCAAGAATTAAGAGTCATGACAATTTTGGCAAAATCATTTTCTAATGCCCTGTTACTTTTTGTCCTTTAAATTCACACATCCTGAGAACTGGTGCACCCTGGACAGCCCAGGGGGGCGCCGTGTCCACTCCAGGCCTGGACAGAAGGGGACTCTCTCCATCCTACACTTCTTGCTTTGGAAAGTTATTGCTTTGTGTAAAAAATGAGTGGAGTGGTGCAAAACTGGCAATGAAGTCATCATCTGCGATGCACACTCTGGCAATGTCCACACCACCTGCATTTTGCACTGGGGTTCGACTTCCTTCTGTGTAGCCAAGGCAGTCCCTGCAGAGGTCTGGAGAGCCACCCTGGGTTGCGCTGGAGTCTGGAAACGTATCAGCACCGGAAATATGTGGGGTGAAGAGTGTGAGTGAGGTGATCGAGGGCCTGAGGAGCCCCGAAGGAACGGCTGCCTCCCCAGCACAGCGTGGCGGCATGGCACCAGCCACCGGGGACTTTTTATGTTGGAGCAGAACTCAGGGAGGGAGGGGTGAGGTCGTGCATGACCGCCTGGGCTCGTGCCCGCGTAACGAAGCTACATGGGAGCACTCAGGCCCTTTCAAAGCGGGACAAGACCTTGTGGCTTAATGCAGAAAGGAGAGTCTGTGCAGATGAGTCCCCACCACGCAGGACCAGCCAAGGTCCTGACCTGGACCGTGTGTTGGCTGCTGACACTCTGCTGTCGTCCCTTGTCTGTCCCCCTTCACAGCTGCGGGATGTGGTGTTATTTCATCCCATAGGGGATGACCAGAGACTAGCCAGGCCTGGACGTGACGTGGAGCGGCGCGCAGGGAAAGATTCAGCTGTGGAGGTTCTTTTAAAGCTCAAGTCCCCACCACCTGAAGTGTGCACACATCATCAACTCAAACCATCCTCCCCGGCCGACGTGCTCTGCGGAGATGCGTCTGTCTTGCGTTCCCGGCTTCTCAAAGGAAGGACTGACGGGAACACGGAAGCTTCCCAGCATCCTGCCCTCCGAAAACCAGGCAGAAGAGCTGCACAGAGGGAAGCAGAGTGGTGGCCCCGCGCGGGCTGCAGCTCTCCCGACCCGCCACACCAGCACGTCCCCAGGGATGGGCCGGATCCATCTGAGGTCTGAGGTGCACGACCTGTCAATTTTTACCAAAAGGGCTTTAAAAAATTGGACGTGAGGTGGGAGAATGACAAGGAGAGGCCGCAGGACCTTTCAGCCCTTCAGAGAGAAGCCTCATTTGCTGTGGGGAATCCACTTCATTGAGAAGAGACAAAAATGCATTCGATTCCATCAACAAAACAGTGGTATTTTGGACTCAGTGAAAGTATTTCCTATAAGAACATAAAACACTAACATTCAGAATCATTTATCATTTATGAAAGAGTACCATATGTACAATTCCAACAGTCCTAGAGACAGCAGAACAATCAAAGTATTTAAGCTTTACAAGTACCATGCAGCACAAACTATAAACAGAAAAAAAAAATCAAACTAGTGGATAGCACCAGCTTGACCTGCCTCAATTTCTTTGAATAATTTTCTATACAACAATGGAGACTCTCAGAACATTTACCCACAGTGCAATTACAGAAAGCAATTCGTGATTTCTCTAGAAATAATAAATATGGCTCACTGGTGACCATTCCTCTCGCATGTCCTCCATGGTGCCTGCCTGTGTGCGGACCAGGATGTGCAGGCGTGGACGCAGAGACGCCCCTGTGGAACGCACACACATCTGGTGTGCACAGCTCCATGCACGTGCGCACACGGAGGCCGTGCCCATGCCTCCCCCAACGGGCAGTGTGTGGGCACTGCCTGGGAAGACACGGCTGCAGGTGCACGGGGCACCAAGGGATGCCGGCTCCTGGACACGGCCTCACTCCCTACCAGGGCTCCCCAGGGCCCCGCCTCGAATGCAGCTCAGAGCCCTCTCCCTCTTCACCTCGGGCTCTTCCTCCCAATCTCATGTCAGCAAATGTCGAGTGCATGTCGCTGCTCCAGGGGAGCAGCCTCAGACCCCAGCACGCGTCAGCAGCCACCTAGTCCTTTTCTCCATCTTCGCTGCTTCCTGTTGAGGAGAGAGGAAGCAAGGTGACAAAGCTGGGTTTTTTAAATGATGATCACAGACAGGAACGGTGTGTCCGGCACGTGCGCTGCCCCGAGGAAACAGGAACAGACGCGGGTGTTCTGAGCCCAGCACTGCCTGAGCCGCCCTTCCTGTCCTTTCCTTCAGAAGCAGCACCTGCCTGACTCTCCCACAAACACATCTGCTAAGCTCAAATGCCAGCTGGGTACTACGGCTCAGGGTGCAGAAGAAGTCGGCTGGGATCCACACATCTGCCCCGAAAGGTCGGCAGGCAGCAGGCGTTATCTAATCAGCACAAATGAAGCCTAGCGCCGACGCAAATAAAACCTCTTTGTAGTCCATATTTATTATTTGATCTGTAAACTTCCAATCAAAAAATGAGCCTATTAACCTTATCTTTCAATCTAGTGACAGGCAAAGAAGGCTCCCTATATGTTCAGATACCTCCACTTCAAACGGCCCCTGCCCACTCACCCGGCCCAGCCCTCAGGAGCCGCACCAGGACCAAGACTCAGTAGCAACACCAACATTCCAGGGGCAGCACCAGAGTGCATGTGGGCTGGCCCCAAGGCCAGGGGTTAAGTGCTCTTACCAGCCTGCTGAAGAGCAGCCTCTCTCTGGGAAAGGAGGAGATAGTGGGGAGGGGGACTATGCAGCAACAGGAGGAAAAGGAGATGGCACAGGCCGGGAGCTCCTGTGACGCAGAGCCCCTCTGCCTCAGCCTGGCCCCACAGGGCAGGTGAGAACCAGCCTTGGAGTGACCACAACCCACAGGCAGGGGCGTGGCCCTGAGAGCACACTCAGGATGCTGGCAGTTTTATTTATTTTAGAGGCAGTTTGTTGCTCTGTGGGTCACTGCAGTCTTGAACCCCTGGGCTCAAGCAATTCTCCCGCCTCAGTCTCCTGAGTAGCTGGAATTGCAGATGCACGCCACCACACCTGGCTTATTTTTTAATTTTTATTTTTTGTAGAGATGGGGTCTCACTATGTCGCCCAGGCTGGCCTCAAACTCCTGGGGGTTCAACTGATCCTCCCACCTCAGCCTCCTGAGTAGCTGGGATTATAGGCATGAGTCACTGCACCCAGCTGATGATGGGAGTTTATAAAAAGGAATTTGTAATCTACTCAGCAAACTCGGAGAAGACATCAGATTATCAGGCCTGCAAGTCCCCCATCTCCCAGCTGCAGCGCCGCACCCCCACCTGTCCCCCACCCCCAGCTACCCCCACAGCACACGGCGCCTCTTACCGCCCTGCTCGATGTCCGAGTCAGTCAGGTGTGTGAGGGAAAAGCTGGCGATGTTGGCAGGAGAGATGGAGAACCGGGAGTAAGGCGCCGAGTGTGGCCAGCTCTGCTCTGCGCTCCGGGCCGGTGGCGGTGGGGAAAAGTACTTGGATGTTTGGAGAGAAGGCTTGGAGCTGAGCAGGTTACTTGTTGTCTTTGACATAAAAGGGTCTGGGGAGAAGTCATCATCCCACTCAAAGCCGCCACCTAGAAATAAAAAATAACACCCCACCCCTGATCACCATGGGTTGAGGGAGAGGACAGCCCTCTGCACAGGTGTGCCCTGCAGGTAGGAAGACTCTGCCCAGCCTGGCTGGCAGATGGCAGAGCTGTACCCATGTGACTAAAGCAACATGGTAAGTTATCCTCAGAAAGTGTTTCTATTACTCAATTTTTCAGTTTCCTTTAAAACTAGTCAATGAGGTGAAATACCTTCTTCGTCGGTGGAGCTTTCAGAGTTTATGCACCTGCTCAGGTAGGGAGAGCCTGAGGCTGGGGCTGGGCCACTCAGGTCAGGGCCACACGCTTCTCCTCCACAGGGCCCCAGCTCTTTGGTTGGGGTCTCCTGAAAAGCCAAACAGAAACTCCTGTCAGCAAAGTCCTGCTCACAAGAAGCCCCCAGTGTGACTGCTTCCCCAATGTGCCTCTCAGACTGGTAAGACTGAGAAGTGAGCATCTCAAGACAAGGGTGGCTCTGGGCCTGGGAGGGAGGATGGACAGACATAAGGCCCTGTCTCTCCCTCTGCCCACAGCTCTGACCCTGGCAGAGACACGAAGCAGCTCTCGGAAGCTGCAAAGAAGCACAGAGCAGCAGGCAGGCTGGAGGCGCCGCAGTGCTCAAGGCGTCACCCGCCAGCATCAAGTGTGCCACCTTCTCCTCCATGATCTCCTGCCTGGACTCATCTCGGCTCGGAATCCAAAGTAGGTACCACCCTGGACACAGCGCTCAGGGAGAAGCCTTTGGTTCTGGCTTCAGAGTGGGAAGGAGGTCTGCTGCTGCTCAGAAGCAGGTGGGGGTGGGGGGAAATTCCAGGTTTCTTTTCTCTGTTCTCTTGCTCCCCAGTCCCAAGCAGTCCCAGGACGACAGCTGCCTATAATCCTAAGGGCCGTGAAGCCTCCTCTCCACTGGAGGACTGTCATCCTGAGCGGGAGGGGACCCTCAGTGGGTTTTTTTGTCCTCTGCACTCCCACTGCTTGGCTCCAGACGTGCATGCGGTTGCAGGACGTATGGCGCATTGTGTAACCGAAGTCTCAACTTTCTAGCTAGGGGACCAGAAAGGAGTGGCCCAAAGAACTGCAAGTATCAGAGACATCACAGAAGAGGAAGGAGCTCAAAAAGGTGACCCTACCAGGTTGTGGGGATGCTCCTGGGCCTACCCCTGAGCTGTGCATGGTAGATGTGACTCCGAACACACCAAAGCTTTGAAAATGAACCTCAGGGGAGACCGAGGTGGGGTGCGGGGCACACACGTGGGGCAGGTTCAAGCAGCATGGTGAAGGCTTCTGAAAGGGGAACTGGGGCTGACAGTGAAACCACAGCCTGCAGAAGCTGCTTGGAACCTGTGGCCTGTACCCAGCGGGTCAAGGCCTGCTGAGATAAAAATATCAACATTACAGCATTTAAAGAAGACACAGAGCTGCCTGACATGACAGGAGGATACAAAAGCTCAAATTACTGAGCATTAAAAAAACCAGGAAAACCTCGATTTACCTGGGAAAAGAAAATCCACAGATGCCAGTGTCATGACGCCACCGATGTTAGAATTATCTGAAAAAAGACTATTATAAAAATGCTCCTGCAACTAAGGGTAAACATTCTCACCATGGATAGAGATAGAGAAAGTCTTCACAAAAGAACAGATGATAAGAAGAATGACAAAAAGCAAAATTTGGAAAAGTACAATAACCAAACTCTAATGTACTATTGTACTAATCTAATCTCAATGGATGGGCTCAACAGCAGAATGGATGATGAAGGAAATCATCAGGAACCCTGAAGACAGAGCAACAGAAATCACCCAATCCAAACAAGACCAAGAAAAAAACCCTAGAGGAAGAAAGGGCCAGAGCCCCAGAACCTGTGAGATAATACACAGTGTCTAACTCTGGAGTCCCGGGAGAGAGGAGACAGGGCGTGGGGCAGAAGAAGTACTTGAAGAAAATAATGCCTGAAAACTTCTCAAATTTGGTGAAAGATATAAAACTACTGATTTAAGAAGTTTAGCAAAACTAAAATGGGATAAATACAAAGAAATTGGGCCAGGTGGAGTGACTCACACCTGTGATCCCAGCACACTTTGAGAGACCAAAACAGGTGGATCCCTTGAGGCCAGGAGTTCAAAACCAGCCTGGGCATAGTGAGACCCTATCTCTACAAACAATTTAAAAATTAGCTGGGCATGGTGGTGCATACCTGTGGTCCCAGCTACTCAGGAGGCTAAGGAGGGAGGATCACTGGAGCCCAGGAGCTCAAGGATGCAGTGACCTATGACCATGCCACTGCACTTCAGCTGGGTGGCAGAGCAAGACTGTCTCAAACAAAACAAAACACACACACAAAGAAATCCACACTCAGATGCACCACAATCAAACTGCTGAAAGCTAAAGGCAAAGACTTGAAAGCAGCCAGGGATAAAAGATGTATTACAGTTTGAACATCCCAAATTTGAAAACCAAAAATCCAAATGCTCTGAAATCCAAAACCTTTCGAGCACTGACATGACACTCAAAGTGCTCACTGGAGCACTTAGGATTTTGAATTTTCAGATTTGGGATGCTCAACTGGTGAGTATAATGGAAATATTCCAAAATATGAAAATATCAGAAATCTAAAATGTGTCTGATCCCAAGCATTTCAGATAAGGGACGCTCCCCTTGTACTGCTAGGAGTTCAGGCATGATCTCAGTGACTGCAAATTTCTCATGAGACACCATGGAGGCCAGAAGGAAGTGATACATTTTTTAAATGCTAAAAGAAAACAATTATTGACTCAGAATTCTATGTTCAGAGAAAATGGGCTTCAGGAATGAGTGTGAAATAAAGACAGTCTTAGATGGAAAAAAAAAAACAAACTAAGAGAATTTATTTTAAAAAAAAAAAAAACTGCAAAAACTCAGTTTTTTTAAAAAAAGAAGAAAAATTAGCCAAATTTCTTTAAATAGAAGGGAAATGGTACCAGAAGGGAAATGCTACCAGAGGAAACTTGGAACATCAATAAAAAAAAACAACAGAAGTATAGTAGGCCCTCCAGATCAGAGTTCCACATCCTCAGAGTCAACCAACCAGGACAGAAAATATTCAGAAAAAACAAATAAATAATACAACAACAACAACAACAAAATAAATAATACAGTATAACAACTATTTTCGTAGCATTTACAGTGCATTTGGTATTATGAGTAATCTAGAGATGATTTAAAGAATGCAGGAGAATGTGTGTAAGTTATATGCAAATATGATGCCATTTCATACAAAGTGCTTGGGCATCCTCTAATTATGGAACTACCACTCCTTAGAAACCAAGGGACGACTCCAGAAACGATCTGAATAAAGATCAGTGACATGACCACCTGTGCATAACCACATCTGTGCATACCAAGTTCTGCGGTTAGCCTTGTGGAGCCCACATATGCAAAAAGTCAGTCCTCCGTGTGTATACACACAGGTTCCACATCCTGAGAATACTGTGTTTCCAATCTGGTTTTGGTTGAAAAGAAGCCATGTCTAAGTGCACCCACACAGTTCAAAACCCATGTTGCACCAGGGTCCACTGCACACTATTCATTTCCTCCTGAGTTTCTTAGAATGTGTTTGATGACAGAAAGTCAAATATGTCATGCTGTTTGAGGGGGTTATCAGTGTACATGTATGCAGCACAGAAGAGCATGTCACGATGGGGACAGAGGGCAAAAGGCCTATGTGACAGTAAGGTTTCCACATTCCATCTGAAATAGTAAAACACAGATCTAGGTAGATTGTGAGATGTTTAATACATATATTGCAATCCCCAGAATGGCCACTACAAAAACTATACAAAGAGAACATATAGTAGGAAAAAAAAGTAATACTAAAAATGTTCAACTTATTAAAAAGAGGAAGAATAGAAATAAAAATCAAAAGAATAAAATGGTATACCTAAATCCAAAATATTAACAATTTTACTAAATGCAAATGCTCTAAACACACCATTAAAAGGCAAATTTTTCAGAACAGAGTTTTAAAAACCCCACCTAACTATATAAGACCTCAAGAAACTCATGTCAAATGTAATGATACAGGTAGATTAAAATATAAGGATGCAAAAAGATACGCCATGCAAACATTAATGAAAACGATGAGGCCAAGAGAAGTGGCTCACACCTCTAATCCCAACGCTTTGGAAGACCAGGATGGGTGAAACACTTGAGCTCAGGAGTTCAAGACCAGCCTGGCCAACATGGTGAAACCCCAACTCTACAAAAAATACAAAAATTAGCTGTGTGTGGTGCTGTGCGCCTGTGGTCCCGGTTACTTGCAGGACTGAGGCAGGAGGATTTCTTGAGCCCAGGAGCTCAAGGCTGCAGTGAGCCAAGATCATACCACTGCACTCCAGCCAGGGTGACAAAGCGAGACTGTCTCAAAAAAGAAAAACGGAGGGAGGGAGGGAAACAAGCTGGAGCAGCTCTATGATCTATGAATATAAGAACAAAGGAATATGGAAGGATATTACATATGGATAAAAAGTTCAATTCAGCAAGAAGACATAATCATCATAAATGTATATGCACCAACACAACTGTAAAATACAGGAAGCAAAAATGAACAGAAATGAAAAAAGAAATAGACAAATCTAAAATCACAGCTGGAGACTTCAACAACCTCTTAGTAATAGAACAAGTATACAAAAAAATGAATGATAGAGAAGAACTCAATAACACCATCAACAAATTAAATTTGACATTCATAGAACAATCTTCCTTACAAAACGAAAATACACACTCTTTCAGGTACACATGGAATAATTCACCAAAATAGACCATATACTGGCTCTAAGATAAACCTTAACAAATTTGAAAGCACTGAAACTGTATTAAATATGATCTCTGCCCATAATGGAACTAGACTAGAACTTAGTAACACAAAGATATAATAAAATCTCCAACTCTTGGAAATTAAACAATATACTTCTTAAACAATATATTAACTAAATTAGTAATTATTAAATATAATATATTAAACTATACTTATTAATCTATGCCACCAAGAGGATGTCTTACAAAAAACTTTATGATCTGAATGAAAATGAAAATTCACACATTAAAATTTGCTGGGTGCCACTAAAGTAGTACACCAAGGAAAATTTATAGCATTAAACACTAATATTAGAAAAGAAGAGGCCAGGTGCAGTGGCTCACGTCTGTAATCCCAGCACTTCGGGAAGTCAAGGCAGGCGGATCACCTGAGCTCAGGAATTCAAGACCAGCCTGGGCAATGTGGCAAAACAAAAATTACAAAAATTAGCTGGGCGCAGTGGTGTGTGCCCATGGTTCTAGCTACTTCAGGAGGCTGAGGCAGGAGAATTCCTTGAGCCCAGGAGGCAGTGAGCAGAGATCACACTACTGCATTACTCCAGCCCGAGAGACAGAATGAGACCCAGTCTCAAAAAAAAAAAAAAGAAAAGAAAAGAAGTAAGGTCTTGAATTCTAAGCTTTTCTCTTAAGAGTCTAGAAAAAAGCAAAATAAATTCAAAGCAAGTTGGGAAGAAAATAATAAAGACAAAGCAGAAATCAACGAAATAGAAAAGAAAAAAGAATCCATGAAAACAAAAGCAATTTTTTGGAAAGATCAACAAATCTACATAATATCTTCCAAACGTCATCAGAGAAGGAAATACTTCCCAACTCATTTTATGAGACCAGCATTAATTACTCTGATAACAAAACCAAAGACAGTGCCAACAAACAAAACCCAAACCAACCAAAAAAACCTAGGTGGAGCCATGAATGTTTATCCCTCAAAGGTGAAGGGCAGGAAGCTCTCAGACTGTGACTCTGAAGTGGGGGCCTCTGGTGTGGGCCTAATGCACAGCTCTGCCCTCATCCTGACAGATAATGACCAGAGCTATATGCGATGCAGCTGAGCTTAATGCTTGTTTATTTTTATTGTTTACAGACAGGGTCTCACTCTGTCCCCCAGGCTATAGTGCAGTGAAGCAATCATAGCTCACTAAAGCCTCAAGTTCCTGGGTTTAAGCAATCCTAATCCTCCGCCTCATCCTCCTGAGTAGGTTGGACTACAGGTGCATGCCACCACATCTGACAGATTTTTAAATAATGGGTTTTTGCTATGGTACCTAGACTAGTCTCACCTCCTGGCCTTAAGCAATCCTCCTGCCTCAGCCTCCCAAAATGCTGGGATTATGGGAGTGAGCCACTATGCCCAGCCTTTAGTGCTTGTTTACATTACGACTGATCAGACTGGAGGGAACCCTGTCACACTAATTGGAAGTAAGCATCATTACCCACTACTTTTGTCTCAAGAACATGGTACAGAGGAAAGACATCGAAAGCACTAAAAGTCAACTCGATGCTAGGCAGATTTTAAAGGTGCATGCAAGAGGCAGCAGGGCGTGCTCGTTAAAAGTTCAGTCCTCAGTCTAGGAAACTCGGGTCAAGCCCTAGCATGGCTACTCACTGGGGCCGACCCTGTGCAAAGTCTACCTACTTTGAGCTCAGAGTCCTCTCCATGAAGATGGCGACAACGACCCCCGTGTGGGGAAGCAAAACAAGACTCTGTATAATAAGGCGCTGGCCCCACAGACTGATCACCAACCTTTACTACTCTACCCGCTAAGTGCTGGTTAAGTATTTGCGGAACTAAAAAATACTGATATAACCAAGAAAAAATGCTACCCAATCCCATGAATGCTCAGTTAAAACTTTGGAGCCAAAATACTTCAACTGCTTAAAAACTTAACAGCTTCAAAACCGACTCATTAAGAAAGAAAGCAGGAGCGGGAGGAAACCCTCAATCTTCAGCCTGAGTGCTCAGTGGCTGTTGCTTCAAGGCACGCTGCATGAGACGCATAAGCAAACGAATTTCAGAGCATCAGAAAGATCTTCCGCATTTTCTTCTGGCCCTGATGCACTTTGTGACTTTCTGACACTCACCTCCTCGTCAAAGCCTCCCATCCATTAAGCATGTCTAGTATTTGATCTCTGTACCTTCCAACCCGTAACTAGTGTGCCCATGCCACAAGCCTTCATCTTTTGCAATTCTGTTACATCTTCTAAAGCCAGAAAAACACAACATCCTCCACAAAGACTTGTGCAAGGGCCCAAACTGCGGGCCCAGGGAGCTTTCTCCGCACCTGCTTCTACTGGGGCTGCATTCCTCACTACTCCAGCTACCCGCAGACTTCCAGGAACACCACAAACAGGTGACAGTTCTTTTCCACCAGTATGTGACCCCATCCATAGAGAAATATGAGGTCACAGAGACGGTGGAGAAAGGGCTATGTGGAAGCACTGAAAACAAAACATGAACCTGAGGGGCCAGGTGACCCCTTCTCCCTCCCACTCTTAGTAGAAAACAGCAGCTTGTTTTCTCAAGCTCCCTGAGCAAAGGCTCCTCAGTTCGAGATCTGCCTAGAAGCCACCTGGGGAATGAAAAGAGGAAGACTGGCGGTCAGGCTGAGCTCAAGAAGCTACTTTTTTTTTTTCTTTTTTTCTGAGACAAGGTCCCAGACTGTCACCCAGGCTGGAGTGCCATGTGCAATCTTGGCTCACCACAACCTCTGCCTCCCAGGTTCAAGCAATTCTCATGCCTCAGCCTCCTGAGTAGCCGGGACTACAGTCTTGCCTATCGTGACTGGCTAATTTTTGTATTTTTAATAGAGACAGCGTTTCACCATGTTGCCCGGGCTGGTCTTAAATTCCCAACATCAAGTGAACCGCCCGCCTTGGCCTCCCAAAGTGCTGGGAATACCAGTGTACCACTGCGCCCGGCCTTACTTTTCATTTTTTAAACATCCACCTCCCCCCAGTAAATGCTATAGCTCAAATGTGGGTGATTTAATGATTTTTAAAGAAACATCATAAAACTATCAAAAAACCAAAGTGAACAGAACACAGAAGAACAACAAGGCACAAAGTGACGTTCAAAAGATGCAGCTGCCAGGGGGAAGGAGGTGGAACAGTGCTCAGAAGCCCTCCCCCACCCCGCCCGCCCACAGCCACGGGCCCACGATGGATGGTGCCACACAGGGGCTGACACCAAGGTGTGGGTTTCCAGAACTGAGTGAAAGGGAGGGCAAGCAACGTGAAGGAGGCGCCGAGGACTCCTGCGCCTTCTAGAAGGCGAGGGGACCCCATTCTCATGTCCTGCCACGGAGTTCTCCTGACAATCCTGCTGATTCAAGCAGCAAATTCAAGGGCTACAAAGACTAGTATAAAAACATTTTTTTAAAAGCATGCTTGAACTCTAAGCTGTTACGCTTTTGAAGGAGCCTAAATCCATGCCCACTCAACAGTGTACACTAAGCCGTTTGTTCCAAAGTAGGGAAAGTGGACAGGACAGGGGACAGAGCAGATGGACCACAGACACTCCTGCTGAGTGTCCCACCCTCCAGACACCCACTGCAGGGCTTCTGGTCAGCCCCTCTCCTGAGCTGTCTCCAGGGCTGCACGCCAGCCACTGTTCCAGGCTTGCATCCAAGTGGTGGGTACTACTGCCAATTGATTGTCAGGTTCTAAAACTCTGGGGCTGAGTGCAGTGGCTCATGCCTGTAATCCCAAAACATTGGGAGGCCGAGGTGGGAGGATGGCTTGAGCCCATGTGTTTGAGACCAGCACGGACAACATAGCAAGACCAAGTGTCTACAAAAAAAAAAAAACCTTAGCCAGCCATGGAGGCACGCGCCTGTGGGCCCAGCTATTATGGAGGCTGAGGTGGGAGGATCGCTTGAGCCCAGGAGTTCAAGGCTGCAGTGTACTACAATCGCACCACTGCATTCCAGCTTGGGCAGCAGAGCAAGACTGCCTCAAAAGAAAAATAAAAAGTAAAACAATATAAATTTGATGTGTAAAGGGTTACCAAGTTCAGGAAGACTCCATTACAAGACCCAGGAAGAGCATGTAGGTCTCGTTGCCTTCATTTAATATAAATTCCCTGTGCAAATGACATTTCTGCATATTCTCAGAACTGTAACCAACTCCAAATCATTTTTTCTGAGTAATCACAATCTGCTGCCTCAAAATGGCAACTAAAAAACAGACCACACTCAATTTCCTAACACATTTTGGAATTCTTATATGGATATATATAGAAAATGATTTAGCGGGAACAGATACCTGGTCAAACAGGTAGACTGTGACATCATCAAAAAATGTGACTGCCTTCTTTTCTTTCTTCCAGTCCTCAGGCAGCGGGTCTGGGGCACCGGCCGCCATGGGCTTTAACAGACTCCGCAGGTGCCTCCCGTCCTCATTGCTGAGGATGATGGGCACGGGGTGTTCGGTCTCATCCTCCGACTCGGAGCTGAGGCTGTGCAGGTTGAAGGCCCGCAGGTCCTCGTCCGAGTCGTCACTGTTTTCATCCTCCTCGTCCGCATCCATCCCATCTTCCGAGAGGTCAAGCATCCCCGACACCCCGAGTTTCCCTAGGTACTTCCCTTCGATGTCTGGCTCCTTCAACTTGGGGCCCTCGGAGTGGCTGGACAGAGGCTTGTCCACTGCAGAATTTGTGTACGCAAGGAGTTCATTCGTGTTGGTTCCTGTGGAAGCGAGGGTGCAGGGGCAATCTTCCTGTGTCTCAAAGTCATCGCCGCTAAGTTCTGAATTCAGCACGCTCCAGGGACTGCTGGCTTCTTCTTCCATGGGATGCACCTGTTGGGGAACATCAGCCTGTGCTGGCTCCGGCGTGTCTCTTAATTCCAGGTCACTGGACTTGTGCAAAGCAGATGGACAACTTTGATCTGGATGGCTCTTTTTGGCTTCCAGGCAGCTATCCTGGGCATCAGGACTTTGTTCTGTGGGGACTGGCTCAGGCAGGGGCTGCTCCTGTACCAACACCAAGGTGGATACGGAGGCTCCTGGGACCTCCTCAGACCTTTTCTCAGGCTCAGAGTCATTGTCTGAGAAGTAGGCAGAGTCACGGTATGAACCCTGCGAGCCAGCTGTGAATGTCTGAGGGGTCACTTCTGTGCCTCTGTGACCATCACCGGCATCGGAAATGACGATGACTGGGTTGGGGGGCAGACTGCTGTGGCCATCGCCTGCGGTGGCTGGTTCTGAGTCTGAGGTGCCCTCGGGTGTGGGGTGCAAGGTCCACTCAGGAGACTCCAAGTTCTCTGTTTCGTAGCCGCTGTCTGCTGGCTTATCGGGGGGCACGAGTTTCTGGGGAGTGTGAGATCCTAAAGAGTCCAGTAGTGCTTCGTGGACATCCACTGACTCCAGAGAGTCCGGGGTTTCCAGGGATGGCTCTGAGGCTGGAAAGGGCGCTGACAAGCTGTCCTCCAGGAGGCTGTCCTGACTGGTAGAGTCTGAGGAAAAGGCAGACACCAAGCCTGCTTCTTTCGCTGCATCTTTAGAATTGAGCTGATTTAAAGTCTCCACAGCCTCCAAGTTTTTCTCCAGTCGGCAATGACTGTGATGGTCTTCCGAAAGCGGTTTACTATGTAAATCCTGTCCCGGTTCTGGAAGATTACTTCCCATACTCACCCTACTGGCAAGGATGTCATCAGCAAGAACAGAGTCACTTTCGGTGAGTCTCAGGGTCTCCTCACTCTGGCCAGGAGCGTCCTGAGACCTGTCATCCATGCTGCGGGTTCTGGCATCAGTGGAGGGAATTTCAGCCAGGACAATCACAGCGTCTGGACTGATGTCCTGGCAGAGACAGTCCTCCGGGACAGTAACATCTAAACACGTGGGCTGGGCTTCTCCCTGTGTCCGGAGTGAGTTTGGGGGTACCCGATGGGGCGTTTCTTCTGTTTCGAGGGAGGTAGGAGATACCTGTACTTCCGGGGAGGACTGCAATGAGGTGCTCAAAGTGTCACCTGTGAGCATGACATCTGTATCTTTACCCTTTGTGCTTATGTTTTTCTGTAATGAAGACAAGCCTGGCTTATCTTCAGCAAACGAAAGCTCAGTATCTGAAGAGTTTCTACGTGACGTTTCCAATTCTAACATGGCTTCAGTAAAACCAGCATTCTTAAGTTCTGTCTGAAGATCATTTATATGTTCTTTGCTGGAAAATGAGCCTTTTAGTAAGTTTTTCTCTTGAAGAAATAAAAAGTTTTCTGACAATTCTTGAACATTCAATGGATCAAAATTATCTTGGTGCATAAGATTATCTGACAGGGAGACAGGCTCACCGTCAAAAAGCTTATGGGGCTTTTCTTTCTCCAAGTGGCCCGTTATGACTGTCTCTTTGGGGTTATCCAAACTTGAACTGAAAGTGGCAGGTTTCAAGTCAGCCTGGACTCCGTTTAGTTCCATTAAGTCAAATATTTTTTGGTGACTGGGCAAATCTTCCGATTTGTCCAGGTCATTAAATATATTGTTGAAAGGGCTCTCGGGGCCACTGGTCATGTGTAAGTCCTCTGGTAAGCTAGAATCTTTGGGGTCTGTACTGCTTTGGAAGAAGTCCTCATCTGTACTGGACTCCTCAAGCTCAACGTTCCTGAGAGCCGTGAGCTGGGACGGTTCCAGGCCAGTCCTCTCTGGATTATCCATGTCGGTCGTGAGCAGCGCTGGCGGGTAATCAAGCTCCAAGTTACTACCACTTTTTTCTTCTAATTGGATATAATAGTCGCTTCCAACAGAAAGGTTGTGGGCATCAAAAACAGGAACCACTCCGGGGGCCCTCAGGGGCACATCCTGGCCACTATCATCTTGCTTTCCGGGCCCAGGATCTGAAAGCGAACTCTCAAAAACTTCCACCGGATAGAAGATGCTCGTGTAGGACAAAGCTTCATCCAGGTGGCTCCGGCTGCGCTCATCAAAGTGGTCATGCTTAGCAGCCTCCCAGACATACTCAAAGCTCAGGCCCTGGCTGGTTTCAGTCACAGTGAGGACTTCCTCCATTTCACGACCCAGCCGGTCCCTGGCAAAGTGGTCGAGAATTGGGAATGCAGCATTGTTGGAGGTGTCTCTGCTGTTTGTGTTCGGCTTCAGAGCATTCCACTGCTGTTCAAAGTCGACCTCTGAGTCCCGCTGGCTCTGCAGCCGCAGGTAAGTCAACAGCCTGTGTACGTCTTCAGCCGCGGGTCTCTTTTCTGGTGGCAGCCAACAGAACTGTAAGACTTCGTACCTGAAGAGCATATGACAAGCAATCAGTGGAGCCATCACCAATCTTTTTTTTTTCCCTTCGAGACAAAGTCTTGATCTGTCATCCAGGCTGCAGTGAGCAATGGCGTGATCTTGGCTCACTGCAACCTCTGCCTCCCGGGTTCAAGCAATTCTCCTGCCTCAGCCTCCCGAGTAGCTAGGATTATAAGGTGCCCACCACCATGCCCGGCTCATTTTTGTATTTTTAGTAGAGACAGGGTTTCCTCATATTGATCAGGCTGGTCTCGAACTTCTGACCTCGTGATCCACCCACCTCGGCTTCCCAAAGTGTGGGATTACAGGCCTGAGAGGCCGAATCATTTTAAAGTATCGAAAGAGGCCAGGCACCCTGGCTCATGCTTGTAATCCTGATGCTTTGGGAGGCTGAGATGGGAGGATTACTTGAGCCCAGTTCAAGACCAGCCTGGGCAATATAGTGAGATTCCTTCTCTACTTTTCGTTTTAATAAAAATAAACAAAATATGAAAAGACTTTACAAGGACCCTAAAACCAACTCAACGCCCCAAACATTTCTACACCTTCATCACTGCCAACCACATTAAGTAGTTCAGATCATGGTGAAAGAAGAAATGAAGAAATATAATATTTGGCTCCAGATTTTGTTGTGTTTTGGGGACACTGCACAGTGAAGATAAACAGAACAGGCAGAAGGTGAGGCTACCAACCATCTATCAGAGTAGGGCTGCTCCAGCTGGGGCTTCGGGAGCTTTGTGTCTCTCTCTCTAATTACTTGGTTGAGGACGTCTAAGTTGGAAAGATTTGAATACGGCTGTGCAGCATTGTCAAAAAGCTCCCAAAGTGTCACACCCAGGGACCTGTGGGAAAAAGAAAACGATTGTTTCTCTCTCCCTTTAGATGTCAAATTTTTAACACTCACACTTGTTACACAGCCAGTAATTTTAAGGACAAGGGGTATATTGAAAAAATTATTATTATGATCATTTTCATAGCCAGTAATTTTAAGGACAAGGTGTGTATTGAAAAAATTATTATCTTTTTTTTTTTTTTTTTTTTTTGAGCTGCAGTCTCACCACTCTGTTGCCCAGGCTGGAGTGCAGTGGCTCAAACCTCCACTCACTGTAACCTCTGCCTCCCAGGTTCAAGCGATTCTCCTGCCTCAGCCTCCCGAGTAGCTGGCGTTCCAGGCGCTGGCCATCATGCCTGCCTGATTTTTGTATTTTTAGTAGAGATGGAGTTTCACCATGTTGGCCAGGATGCTCTCAAACTCCTGACCTTGTGATCCGTACACCTTGGCCTCCCAAAGTGCTGAGATTACAGGTGTGAGCCACATACCCGGCCAAGATAGTTCTTTAATCTCAAACCAATAATAAACAACAATTAATAGCAAAAAAAAAAAAAAAAAAAAAAAAAGGCATTTCTGTTAAAATGAGGAAGACCACGCCTCCTATTTGATACGAATACTACTCTAGAAGTTTTGATCAATGAAAAAAGCACAAAACAGAAATAACAGGTGTACTTATGTGGATGAGATGACTGTTAACTTTTAAGTACTCAATAAATTATTGTAAAGACTATCAGAATGTTCTAAAAATCTGGCAGAATGGCTGGAGACAAGATAAATAACCCTAAATTCTGAGTTTTTTTTTGGTAAGAAAAAAACCTATTAACAACAGTAGTAAACACCAGAAAGCATCTGAAAGGAATCTTTACGTGAGTAAGACAATGTCTTCTCTGTGAGACCCACAAGTTTGGTCTGAGTTACTCCTCAGTATCATAGGTTTTGCTGCTACTCTGAAGGGATTCCCCCAACACACAGGCAGCTGTCTGTGTGCCAGGAGAGGCCCAGAGGGCTGCCTCACCAAAGCAGGAACACTCTTCTCGGTTCCAGCCCAACCCTCTCTCATGCCCCAGTGCTCTGTCCCCATGGAAACAGCTTCTGCTGGTTTCCCGGGTAAGATGAGCTGCCTCTCGTTTCCTCCATGCAGTCTCTGCATTTACTCCCCACCACGCGCTGCCTCTGTCATGCATTCATGTCTCCTATTTACTGCAATGTTCCTGAACCTGACTGATCGTCTGTATCCTCTGGGAAGCTGTGAACACACACACTGGTAGGTCAGGTCCACTCCCAAGGATGCTTAGTTGGTAGATCCAGGTATGGCCTAGAAGACTCTATTTTTAAAAAGCTCCCCAGTGATTCTGATGTCCAGCCAACCCTCCACGACATAGCCCAAACAATGAAGAATCAACTATATTTTGACAAAAATCACTAAAGGAGAGCACCAGAGCACATCCAAGGAGTAACAAGAACTCGGGAAATCCAGGACAGCCACACAGAGAGCAAAAGTCAGGATGGCCACAGCGAGAGTGGAAGGAAACGCCTGGCCTCCACCACCCCATCCCCAGCCAGGGCAACCGGGAACCAGGAGCAACCTCCTCTTCCAGGGAAGGGCAAGCAAGAGGATCTCACCGTGGACACCTACAGTCTTTATACTGGGGTCCTCACAGGCAGTAAACCCAGCTGAAGAATTCAATAAATGAAATTTTTAAAAAATACAGAACTTCAACAACAGATTAGATCAAGCAGAAGAAAGAATCTCCCAACTTGAAGAAAGATTGTTTGAAATTACCCAGTCAGAGGGAAAAAGAGAGAAGAAAGGAGTGAGAAAAGCCTTCAGGACTTCTGGGAGACCATTGAGCAAACAAATACACACATTATGGGAGTCACAGAAAGAAAAGAGCTAGGAAAAGGCAGAGAAAGGCTACTTAAGGAAAAAACAGCTAAAAACTTCCCAAGTCCTGGGAGAGATACAGACATCCAGATCCAGGAAGCTCAAAGGTCCTTAAAATACAATTAACTCCAAAAGGTCATTTCAAAGGCACATTATAGTCCCACTGTCAAAAGTCAAAGACAAAGAGATAAAATTCTAAACATAGAGAAAAGCAAGTCACATAGGAGGGAATTCTCATCAGACTAACAACAGACTTCCCAGCAGAAACCCTGCGGGCCAGAAGTGAGTGGGATGATATATCCAAAGTACGGAAATTGGCAGCAAGAACACTATGCCCTGCAAAGATATCCTTCCGAAATGAAGAAGGGCTGGGCACGAGGGCTCATGCCTATAATTCCAGCACTTTGGGAGACTAAGGCATAAGGATCGCTTGAGGCCAAGAGTTCAAGACCAGTCTGGGCAATATAGCATGACCTCATCTCTACTAAAAAAAATACATATAATACTTTTTTTTTAAAAAAAAAAAAAAAAAAAAAAAAGGAGAAATGAAGTCTTTCCCAGATAAGCAAAAACTGAAGGAATTCATCACTCATCATACGAGACCAGCCTTATGAGAAATGCTCCAGGAGTCCTGTATCTGGAAGCAAAAGGAGGGCAACCATCATCATGAAAAAAACACAAAAGTAACAAGCTCATGATATACAAGGTAGGGCAGATACACAAGGGAGAAAGAAAAAGGAAGAAAAACTCATCGTTCATGTGGAAGCTAAAAGGGCTGATCTCATAGAAGTAGAGAGTAGAAGAGTAGTTACTTAAGGCTGGGAAGTGGAGGGAGAGAGGAAATAGTGAGAGGCTGGCTAACGAACATAAAATTTCAGCTGGACAGGAGGAATAAGATCTAGTGTTCTATAGCACCAAAGGGTGACTGTAATAAACAACAAATTTTGGTATATTTTCAAACAGCTGTAAGAGCAGCTTTTGAATGTTCCCAACACAAATGATACATGTTTGAGGTGAAGGGCATACTAGTTACCCTGATTTGATCACCACACATTGTATATAGGTATCAAAATATTACACTGGGCCAGGCGCAGTGGCTCACACTCGTAATCCCAGTATTTTGGGAGGATGAGGCAGGCGGATCACTTGAGGTCAGGAGTTAAGAGCCCAGCCTGGCCAACATGGCGAAACCCCATCTCTACTAAAAGTACAAAAGTCAGCTGGGTGTGGTGGTACATGTTGGTAATCCCAACTACTTGGGAGGCTGGGGCACAAAGATCACTTGAACCAGGGAGGTGGAGGTTACAGTGAGATGAGATCGCACTACTGTACTCCAGCCTGGGTGACAATGAGACTCTGTCTCAAAACAATAAAAACCATACACACACACACACACACACACACACACACACACACATATATATATATATATATATATATATGTTTTTATGTGTTCATATATATATTTATATATACACATGTATTAATATATATATATATCACACTGTACCCCATAAATATGTCCAATTGTACATGTCAATGAAAAAAATAATAAAAGCAAAAAAATTGTTTTAAAGAAATCAATCCAAAAGAGGGCAAGGAGAGAAAAAATAAACAGAAAATGCAAGACAACAGCACATAGAACATAGCTATAAATTAAGAATACTGTGACAGAAATTGTTAGTCAAAGTTTTAGGTGCATCTTTCTTAGCTTCCATTAAACTGACTCCTATAAATTATAGTATAACATGATAGTTATTATAACATTATTATAATTTATAGTTATTATAGTACAACTATAAATTATAGTATAACACGCCCCTTTCATTTTTTTCTTTCAATAAATACATATTAAATATCTATTATATGTCAGGCCCTGTGGGAGGTACAGAATATGAAACAGACTTGGTTCCTGCTTTTATAAAGGAAAATGGGGAGCAGAGGCAGTATTCAAAATGTTAACTATATCACCACAATTGTGATAATTGCTGTCATGTCTCTTAAGCTGGCTTTTTCAAACCATCAGGCACTCTTTTGTTCCTACATCTTATACAACTACTTTCCTTGAAGGAAATACTCAAAGAGGAAGAAGTTAGGACTTTGCCAAAGAAATGCTTAATAAAACAGTAAGCAAATACATACCAGATATTACTATACTTAGTCTGATCTGCAGTTAGCAGTCTGTCTTGAAAGCTGGTTACTAATTCTGGAGCAGTCCATCGTAGAGGAAAAACTTTTTTATCATCTGTTTCAATGTAATCCTCCTGTTTTGTTAGAAAGCATACAGAATTTTGAATAGAATTATACTTTTGGTGAGTTCAAGAATTTAAATTCATGGTATTCTCAGAAAACATATACCCAATCCAAAAAACCAGGTCAGAAAAAAAAGCAGGCATGAATAGAGACTTTCTGGGCAGAAAGTGGGTAAGGAGTTTCTCTGAAGCCTCCTGGGTTTCATGAGCTCATCTGTGAGCCATGGACGCTTGCTAAGTCATCCTTCCTGGAAAAGGAAAGTACGCTCTGTCTAATGCATACAACATAGACTCTGAGCAAAACATTAAAACAATATATACTGGGTCTTATGTACTGAATAGTGAACCCAGTTAGTGAGTAAGCAGTGTAGGCTTTAGACTCTGACAGAACGAGGTTTCAAGTCCTCATTCTACTATTTACCAGCTATGTGATTCTAGGCAAGCAACAACTGTGTGAAGTTTTTTCCTGATCTGTGAAATGAGGAGAACACAAGCCTACCCTTTGTGGTGAGAATCAAATGAGATGATGCAGGCAGGTGCTGCTAAGTGCCTGGCATCTAGCAAGAGCTTAAGACACTAGAGCTACTACAAAGACAAATAACCAACTTCAATTTGTATAATATTTTTTGAAAATATTATCCGTTTGGTCCTTAAAAGAACTCTGAAAAATAGAACAGGTTGTATCTGTATGTCGCTGCTCGGAAAGTGGAGGTCAAGGCTGGGTGGGGTGACTCACACCTGTAATCCTAGCACTCTGGGAGGCCGAGGCAGGCAGGCTGCTTGAGCCCAGGAGTTTTGAGGCCAGCCTGGGCAATATAGCAAGACTCCGTTTAAAAAAAAAGAAAAGAAAAGAAAATGGAGGTCAAGAGCTTATCCGAGGTCACCTGATGCCAGGAGGTGGAGCAATCTCATTCTCTGCCCCATGATGCACTATGTCATTCACTGGGGCTACACAAACACACACAAATGGAAACCTCATTGACTTCTTCACTTATTTACTTCAGGACAGATTTATGACAGAGTTTAAAAAACCTAAATTCCCTAGGTTACTCAATTTGAGCTGAAATTTTACTGGCCATGTAATGGAGAAACATTTATATGACATGTATATTTTATTCTAACAGGGTAATACGTAATAATTATTGTTGCTCATATGTTCACTCGAAAATTTATTATGCACCATCAGACTACATCGTCTGTTTATAAATCTTTATAAAACAAAGCTTTCGGAAAGCTGTCACAAAACCTGGGATGCAAAGCTACAGACTGAGATAAGCCACACACCAGAAGTCCAGGCCACCATTAAAATGGCTGCTGTGAATCCCTCTCCAGAAAGCCTCACAACTAAATTTCTTATCAAAACAGTAGGGTATCTGGTAATACTACAACTTCACAATTTGAATTAAATCAGATTGAAGACACTGAAACCCTTGGCTTACCTTGTACCTGCTGAATCCTATTCCGTAATCACCTACTTTCACATTTAAGTCGGAGGTGAGAAAACAATTCCGCAGGGCTAAATCACTGCAAACAGAGGGAAGTGAACACAAGAAGAATTAACAACCAGAATCATGCTGCATGGAACTGCCACCGAAATGGGCTTTCTCTAGGAATCAGAGTAAGTATATTGAGCTCTCTGCTTAATAACTAATGTCTTACAATTTGTTTTCATAGAAGTATTATGCATGTAATCAATCAAATAATAAAGATGATTACATTTTTTGGCAAGAAACTAGCTCAGGTTAAATACTGACCATATCTGTACCATGTTCTGCATTAAAACCAGATTTATGGCTTGTTTCCTAGTATTTTCAGAGTGACCAAGAAAGGACCCTAAAATGTTATTAGCAAAATTGCCTGCATTTTTTTTTTTTGCAGCTTGTATTACTTGAGTAATAGTCTAGTAATAGTCTAAGTAAATATTAATAAATTTATAACTTCAAGCACCCAAAAATAACCCACATTATTAAAACTGTTTATTTTTTCCCTTTTTCAAAGATATACAAGTGTTGTAATCAGGCCCCTTCTAAATCACTTCCATGTCTTACAAACTCCACTTCTCCACAAGGGAGGTGAAGAGCATATTTCAAGACTTACTTAGAACAATTTACTTATGTAATTTATTTTAAAAAGAAGTTATTTTTCAAAACCACACAATTCGACAAGTAAAAACTACTTTTTCTAAAAGAACTTCCCATACAGACAACAGATTGAGTTTTCTGGCTTCTGGCTTTAACCCTTAGAATCTTCTTCATCACTGGTATATGAATAAAAAAGCCATTAAATTAAAATAGAAAAGGATTTATAGTTTTAAGTTATTGTAAAGATATCACAGCTGAATTTCCATAGTCCAAAATGTTTGTCTTTACAGAATAGCAAAAGACCAAAAACTTAAAACTATTAAATTCATATTTTCAAATATTTTAATTTCCAAAGCTCACAAATCTGAACTATCAGAATAATGGAGATGGTGATGGCAACAGCTAACACCGATATAATCTGGTAACAGCTTGGTACATAACATTGATTCAACAACACAATAATGGCTAATATTCTCAAAGCATTTACTTCACATGAGGCATCTGACATTTTTCTCTAAGCATTTAATCTTCACAACAAATCTGTGAGGTGGATACTATTATTTTCCTCATTAACAAATATGGACACTGAAGCACAGAGAATTAAAGCAAGTTCGCTAGGGCCACAAAGCTAGCAAGGTAGTGTTCTGTACTATGTTCATGCTTTCACCATGAATAACTCTCCAGGACGGTACAATGACACCTGTAGCGGCTGGTCCTCAATGTTAATTCCAGTTAGCTACATCACATCACCTGCCACACTCTTTGTGCTTACAAGTGATTTTCCATGCTCCATCAGAACCCTTCAGGCCCAGAAAAACCTAGGGATACCTGTGACTCCATGGCTATGAACAATATAGCTTCTTCTAATTGTAAGAAGAAAGAGGGCCCCCATTTCTTGGAATTAAGTAAGGAAGTGAGGCAGGGAGGGAGAGAGGGAGAAGGAACATGCCATTTGAGGACAGAAAAGTGAAAATGCTTTAAGTAAGGCTGCTTTATCCACTGAGCCAACCGCTGTGACTGCAGAGATAGGGGTTTTGCCAATAGAAGCTCCGTCACTGGGCACCACCACCTCTAGGGTCTATAAACAGACGCTGTGAACCCTACAAACATCTCCCTCCTGAGACCAGAACTAGGAGCTGGAGGCCAGCATCCAGATGAGGGCAAGCACATGTCCTCCTAGGCCAGGGGCAGCAGCCTGAGGCTAGCTTGGGTAATAGCAAGCTCAGGCAGCTCCTGGGGGCAGGATGAGTGTCCCACTCACTCCCTCCTCATCTCTCTCTGTACACATGTTCCACATAGGTCTTTGGATCCTTGAAATGTAAAGGCTTGTTAAAGATGAACAACTACCCCTGCAGAAGGCCCTTGGCTCTCGTAAAACTCAAATGCAATCTAACTGGTGTTCCCAGGGGAAAAAGCAATGCTTCTCACTACCTGAAACCCAAAGGAAGTGAGGAAGCAAACAGTTGTAGGACTGGGTCTTGCCCCACCTCCTTCCCCAGCGCCCAGGCTCCACAGTGCAATGGGAGGGAGCCCTGGGCAAAGTCAGGAGGCCAGCAGCTCGTCTCAGCTCCACTGCTCCAAGACCATGTGATGCTGGGCCAGTCACATGCATAGCAGAGGAGCCTGTTTCCTCACAAAACAACAGGGATGTGCCTGAAATGGTTAACTCACAAGGTTGTTGCAAAGGTAAAACTGAAAAATACACGAAATGTTTTGAAAACATAAAAGTGCTGTACAGATTCAAGGTAATGATACAATTTGGGTCCAAGTTAGTAAAAAAAATATTCTTTGAAGCCCAACAATGTGCAAAGCCAAAGAACAGAAAAACACACAGGTGTAACTTCTTAACAACAGAGGTAACTCTTGACGTCAATGGCTGCTTTTGTCAGGAAATGCAAACACACAGCCCGTATACTCTCCCTTCAAGTTGAAAAACAGGTCCAGGGATGAGGCTGCCAGTCGCACCAGCCCTGCCTGGCTCTCAGAAAGCTCTGGCAGGGTCGCCTATGCTTGGCAGCACTTGCTGTGACTGAGACCACAGTAAACCGCAAGACTCAAGGCCGCATGAGCAGAGCAATGGACAGAAAGTGGGAGCCCGTGGTTCTAAAGGGCTCTCACCCCGATTCACAAGGAAGCACCGCTGCCTGTTGCTCACTCATGCCAGGACTAGTTTGCACGTCTTCAGGGTTCTCCAATGCAAATGGCTCAACATGCAGGAAGCATTTTCAAAAGAATCCACACCTCTGTTTATGTGAACTACTTATGCTTTCCCAAGTAACCTGGATTCCTGATAAAAAGAATTAACAGACGGGAAGCAAAATATCGCAAAGTTACTGAGTACTCTTCTACTTTATCTTCATCTTGGCAACAGCACTCCAGGGCTTTAAAGATGATCCCCACTTTATAGAAAAGATACAGCTCCAAAGGATTACATAACCAGGCTTATACTGGTAAAGCTGATGAGAGGTGAATTAAAACTTCAACTCCAAAGCCGTTCTCTCTGCTCCCCACGCCATTCTGACTCTGGCAGCCACAAAGACTTAAGCTTCCAAGGGGACTCTGCACTTAACACCCTAAGATGGAATGGAGATGTAACCAGGAGATGACTAAACCAAGAAGATTCTCATAAAGCACAGGGAGGGAACTTTACACTCGAATTTTAACACTGTTTGTTCTGCTTATTAGGTAGGTCTTCACTAGCTGGGAAATGGTACATTTACTGAATGCCTGCTGTATGTGCCTCAGGCATCTGCTAGGATTTGGGTGCACAGAGAATTCTTCCACTGTGAAATTCTTATTCCACCCCATGAAAAACACCTTTGGCTGGAATGGGGTCCGCCACTGATGGTGCATACCTACAGTCCCAGCTACCTGGGAGGCTGAGGCGGGAAGATTGCTTGAGCCTGGGAAGTCAAGGCCAGGCAAGTGAGCCATGATCCTGCCACTGCACTCCAGCCTGGGTGAGGCCCTGTCTCAAAAAAATAAAAAATACAAAAATAAAAACCCTGTTCAGATTCTAATGGGAATTCTTTGGGTGAATTGGTATTTTTGTTGCCTCCCCACCATTAACCATGGTGCATCTTTCCATTTGTCCACATGTTATTTTACATTCGTAAGATTTCACAGTTTTTTTCATACAGTCCTGTGCCTTTCTCACACAATAAAAACCCAGATAATTTATATTTTGGCATTATTGAGAATAAAATGGTTTTCATCCCTTCATTGCTGGGTATATAATTATACCTGTACAGACAAAAGCTACTGACTTCTGCGTACTGTCTTATAAAAAGCCACAACAAATTCTCTTATAAATTCTAGTTTTTTAAAAGCATAGTTTCTTGGTTTTTCTAAACATACAATAAATACCATGGCACAGTAAAGAAGGATAATGCTTTCTTCTTTTCCAATGGTTGAAGAGTGTGAACTCTGGAGCCAGAGAACGTGGCTCTGAATCTCAGCTCTGCCAGCTTCCAGCTGCACAACCCTGAACAAATCAGTATACCTGTCTGTGCCTGCGTCTCCCAACCTATAACACAGACAGGAAAACCAGCACTACCTCTTAAGAGTTGGTATAAGAGTACCTGGCAAGCGGGAAGCATTCAGTAAATCTTAACTACTGTTGTTGTTATTATTTGTTATCCAACTTCAGTCTCATGGTGGATATCATTATTATTATTAGAATCTCACTCTGTCGACCAGGCTGCAGTGCAATGGCGCGATCTCAGCTTGCTGCAACCTCTGCCTCCCGGGTTCAAGTGATTCTCCTACCTCAGCCTCCCGAGTAGCTGGGATTACAGGCGCAAGCCACCATGCCCGGCTAATTGTTTTGTTTTTAGTAGAGATGGGATTTCACCATGTTGGCCAGGCTGGTCTCCAGCTCCTGCGCTCAAGTGATCTGCCCACCTTGGCCTCCCAAAGTGTTGGGATTACAGGTGTAAGCCAACATGCCTGGCCTATTATTTTTATTATTTTTTTCTTTTTTTCCCCGTTATTTCTTGGGCCTATTATTTTTAAATTGGTAATTTTCTAGTTTCTGTTGTATTTGTTAGTACTTCCGATGAAATATTGGAAAATAACATAAAGAGTGGGCATCTTTTTCTGGTTTCTCATTTAATTGAAAGGGCTTTATTATTTAGCAATAGCATGATATCGCTATTGAGTTTTGGTAAAATCTTGAGTTTCAGTCCATATGATAGTTAAGTTGTACCTTTCCTTTCCTACTGGAGGAAACGTTTCCCAATGGAGGAGAATATGTTTACATATTCTATGTAAACACAGAATGGCTTCCGAATTATACTAAATGATGTTTCTGCAATCTGTTGCTATCATGTCTTTCTCCTCTTTTATTCTGTCAATGGAACAAATTATGTAGACATTTTATAATATAAATCTACCCTTATATTCCTAAAATAAGTCTTAACTATTTTGTTTACATACTGATGGAGGCAGTTTGCAAGTATTTATGTCTATGTTCATTCATGAGAATCGTCAATAATTTCTTTATGTCATCTTTTGCTATTAAGGTTGTGTTGGATTCATGATATGAGTTATAGAAATTTCCATCTTCTTTATGGTCTGGAATAGTTTTAATACACTGGAGCCACCTGTTCATTAAAGGTCAGACAGATGGGGCCAGGTGCAGTGGCTCACACCTCTAATCCCAGCACTTTGGGAGGCCGAGGTGGGCGAATCACTAGGTCAGGAGTTCGAGATCACCCTGGCTAACATGGTGAAACCTCATCTCTACTAAAAACACAAAAATTAGCCAGGTGTGGAGGCACGTGTCTGTAGTCCCAGCTACTTGGGAGGCTGAGGCAGGAGAACTGCTTGAACCCAGGAGGCAGATGTTGCAGTGAGCCAAGATTGCGCCACTGCACTCCAGCCTGGGTGAGAGAGCAAGAATCCAACTCAAAAAAAAAAAAAAAAAAGATCAGACAGATAGATGTTACCAATGAAACTCTCTGGACCTAGAGCCTTTTTAAATGAAAGCTCTTTAATCACCTTCCCAGTGTAGCAACTCAGCTGATTACAGTCTTTCTATTTTGTCTTGGGTTGCAGCTGCAATCAAATTGGCTCCTTTCCCTTGAAGCCTTCCCTTTTCCTTTCTATGTGACACACATCATGGGAGATACAAAGGTCAGGAAGATCCAATCCCTGCCTTCAACAAGTCTTCCATGTAGAAAGGGGAATAAGAAACCTTTGTGGACAGGTGCCACATATGAATTCCCGTTGGGTTTTCTTTTCAGTCATGGGTTTTCTTTTCAGTCATGTCTTCTCTTACTAAACCTCCCTAAGGTATATAGTGCAATAGTGATTAAACACGCACACATGTGCATGCACGAAGCTCTGGGCTTGCCATCCTACTGCCTACAGAACACAGCCTGAAGGCCTTATCCTGGCACTCAGGCCCGCTGTAATTTAGTTTCAGGCTGCATCTCTATTCTCATCTTCTGCTATCTTCTCTCCTCGTCTTCTGTTCTAGTTACACTGGACTAGCTGACATTTAAACTCCCTTCCCTCCTCTTCCTCCTACCACATACATCATCTTGCTACTCCCTTCTTCAACAATTCTGAATGTCCTCCAGCCCCCAACTGACATCCATTCTTCAAGGATCACTAAAATCCATCTCCTTCCAAAAACTGACCTGGACCCCTCCCAGACGAAAGTAACTTCTCCTCCTGCAGAAATGACCACACAGAGTGTGTGTGCCTGGGTTCAAACTGCTCATCAAATGATCAAATGAGTGGCTGAGACAGACCAACAATTTAGCACCCTGAGCCTCAGTATTCTCCTCTTTGAAGTGGGATGAATAATGGCACCTGCCTCATGACGGGTGGGGTGGTCCTGAGGATCAAATCACTACTCACAGAATGTTCTACAAATGCACAGAACACAGCAAACACCCTGCCAAATGAGCACCCGCATTTCCACTCTCCTGCTGGGGCATTAGTGAGCAGTAGGTGTGCATTTTGCTTTGACATGAAATGGATTTCTCTGTCTCTCACCTTGTCACTGGATTTTAAATGTATTTTTCTGCCTCTCACCTTGTCACTGAACTCTGCAGGAAGTGAAAGTTCACTGCACACTAACCCTAGTGTTGCCCAGCAGAAAGTCATTGTAACTCTACAACCGGGCAAATCCTACAAGAGGCACTGTGAGGACACATGCTGCCTGTGGGAACCCCGGGCTCAGCTCATCACAGCGACCTGGTGGCATCTCATAGACAGGCTGCTCAGGAGACTCATAGGGAGGGGACAGGAAGTCCCAGGCTCCAGGCCAGCAAGGCGAGTGGGACACACAGCAGCAAGCTGGCAGCGCCTGCTGTTTACATGACCTTCACAAAAGTCACATGCACGATTTCAGAGATGCAGGCTCCTGAAACTCTGGGTTAAGCCTCTTCTTAAATAATCGGTAGAAATCCAACTTAACTGGGGTGCCTTACTAGGTGAGTTTCCAAACAGAGCTAAGAACTTTAATTGGACGTGTAGGTTGTTCTATTTTCAGCCAAAAGAGGAAGTCCTACTTTACGGCAACCAATAAATATTCTAAGTTCCAACTTAAAAATATACTGTATGATATGCTACTGACAAAAAAAGATCTTAAAATACAAAATTTTGCCCCAAATGGAAATTTAATAAAGATATGATTACTTTTTAATTAAACAGCTGTCAATGGTTTCAAGGATTTTCTTTGAGTTTTTGAACTTGAATAAAACCCAAACTACGTGATTTACTTTATCATCTTTACTTGTTCTAAAGTCCACAAGATTTGAAATTAAGTAAAACTTTAACTTGAAACCCATAGGAAAATACTATTTACTCTGACATCTTTGCCAATTTAAAAAATACACAAGGCCGGGCGCGGTGGCTCAAGCCTGTAATCCCAGCACTTTGGGAGGCCGAGGCGGGTGGATCACGAGGTCAAGAGATCGAGACCATCCTGGTCAACATGGTGAAACCCCGTCTCTACTAAAAATACAAAAACATTAGCTGGGCATGGTGGTGCGTGCCTGTAATCCCAGCTACTCAGGAGGCTGAGGCAGGAGAATTGCCTGAACCCAGGAGGCGGAGGTTGCGGTGAGCCGAGATCGCGCCATTGCACTCCAGCCTGGGTAACAAGAGTGAAACTCCGTCTCAAAAAAAAAAAAAAAAAAAATACACAGATTCTAGCCGTTTTTGATAATTTTACACTGCTGATTCTGATATGATGCTCTTTTTTTTTTTTTGATACGGAGTCTCACTCTGTCACCCAGGCTGGAGTGCAGTGATGTGATCTCAACTCACTGCAACCTCTGCCGCCTAGGTTCAAGTGATTCTCCTGCCTCAGCCTCCTGAGTAGCTGGGATTACACATGCCTGCCACTGTGCCCAGCTAATTTTTGTAGTTTTAGTAGAGATGGGGTTTCACCATCTTGGCCAGGCCTGGTCTTCAACTCTTGACCTCGTGATACACCCACCTTGGCCTCCCAAAAGTGCTGGGATTACAGGTGTGAGCCACTTCACCTGGCCTATGATGCTCTTTTAAAATATAACCCCCTTCTCCAAAATTCAATAATTCCTAAACCAAGTATTAGTAAATATCCGCATTTTGTAAGATATTAACAATATAAATTATGTTAGATAATAACCTGTTATAGAAGACATTAAAAACTAAATGTAGGCTTTCTCCACTATGAAATCTTTATAAAGTTTTATGTAAGGGATTCTGCTTTGGGTCTTAAGAAACCGGTAACTTTTTGAGTCTCTTAAAAAAAAAAAACTTTATCAGGATGATTTGTTTACTATTATAAATCGAACAAGATATAAATGTGTAAGAAGGTTAATGATTTTCCTTCATCCCCCCTTGAAGTAATGTTGAGAGTCTGATAGGCACAGTACTTTTCCACGCCTGTTTATACACACACACCTCTAGAAATAGAACCAGGTGTTTTCATACTTAAAAAAAAAAAAATGGGATCACTCTATAAATATATTACTGTGAAATCTGCTTTTTAAAAAATACAATACTTCAAGCCAGGCGCGGTGGCTCATGCCTGTAATCCCAGCACTTTGTGAGGCAGAGGCAAGCGGAACACGTGAGGTTAGGAGTTCAAGACCAGTCTGGCCAACATGGGGAAACCCCATCTCTACTGAAGATACAAAAATCAGCCAAGCCTGTTGGCACATGCCTGTAGTCCCAGCTACTCAGGAGGCTGAGGCAGGAGAATTGTTTGAACCCAGGGTGTGGAGGTTGTAGTGAGTCAAGACTGCACCACTGCACTCTAGCCTGGGTGACAGAGCGAGACTCTGTCTCAAAAAATAAATACATAAATAAATAAAAAATAGAATATACACATTCCTTCAAGTCAAGACACACAGGTGTTCCTTTTTAGGTCAATGGATTACTAAGAGTTAAATGATTTACTTAAAGTCAATTTTAAAAATACTGCCTGGTTTCCCTGGAGATCTAAGAAATAATTTTAAATGCATTGTGTTGCTTTTAAATGTAAACCGTAGCTCAAAAGCCTAGAAGAGAATAAGCAGAAATCTCCTTTTGGGTTCACAGAATGACTCATCATTTGAGACAGGACTACATGTCCTTTGGTGTTTTAATTACGAAAATCACCATCAATGATTTGAACAAACTACAACAGACTCCAAATGGGGCCTGAAAGGTTTCAACAGAAATGTGCTACACAGATCGCTGTGCTGAATTCACAAGCAGCCCCTGACTACCCACTCAGGGGGCCTCTTCAGATTGGATCCCACGACACCTCTGCTTCCAAGTGGGCCCCTGACACCCACCCTTCAGCTGGCCAGAAACCAGTGCTATGACCTTGTGCAACCAGAGGCTGCTGGCCTAGAGCCTCTCTCGTCCTCTCTCAGGAATGTCAACTGGGGTACACTATGAAACCGGGCGGGTAGCACCAGAAGCCTAAAACTGGTGTGGCAAAGATGAAACACGCAAGGTGTCATGCAGTGGATTGGGACGGTTTATTCTCAACTCTGGAGCAGGTACAACCATTCACTCTTTCAAATTCTGGAAATAATAAATGTACTAAGACATCTTATTCCCTGGTACTGGTTTCAATGAAGCCCAACTCAACCCTAATCTTAATCACGAGCAAGAACGAGATCGCTTCTACCTGCATGAGCTAAGTTCATTCTGCACCTGTCCTTATGTTTCACAAATGCGGCAGCCTCTCTAGGCCATCTTGTGGTGCTATGTGAGGTGTGCGCCTCTGACACAGGGACCCACCTGTGCAGGAAGTGCAGCTTGTGCATGGCAGCCAGCCCTGCGGCGATCTCACACGCCATCCTCTGCAGCAGCATGGTCTGTGAGTCCCCCCGCATGTGCTCCTGCTCGTTGCGCAGATACGCCTTCAGGTCGCCCTGCAAAAGTCAGCCCGTTTGAGTTTCAAAACGAACCACAGGAACAAAGTTCGTGCTTAAACATGTGCCTCGGTAGACACTAATGTTAAGATTATTTATTAGAAACTTATGTTTGTACTTAAAGAAGTTCCAACCCAATAATGCAAAAGTATAGAACATTATTATGCTTTTAGGGGCATTCTAACTAAACATTTTTATCATATAAACAAACACATGTAAAACAAAACAGTTTACAAAAAGATAGTTTTGTAATGATGCAAAATTAAAACTAAATGCAGTGTCGAAGTAGAGAAAGTCCCAGGTACCTAAGAGATGACACGGAGAGTGTAAGAAATGGTGCCACTCATATTGCCTGGTCTATGGATTCTAGCCAACCCCTGGGCAGTGAGCACTTCATCACGAAGGCGCCGTGGCTACTGCCGAAGCTTGGGGGAGCAATGGATGGGGAGAGAAGGAAAGAAAAATGGGTGGGAAAGAAGGAGAAGTCCAGGTAGTACAGTAACAACTGCTTCAGGTCTCCCACAGCTTCCCCAGGACCCTGTGCTATCCTGAGACAGTGGAGAGAAAGGACATTCCAGCCAATCCAGAAAACCTCACCACGTGAACAATGAACAAGCCTACTCTTCAAAGAGGAACAGCGTGAGCAGGAAAATAAACAGATTTACAGTCAGATGCCCAGTACATGGCCATGACACTGCTGGGCTCCCCGCGCCTCAAGGACCTCCCTGTGTTAATGCTGTCTTTATTTCGTAACTTTAATTTAGAACACAATGTTTTGGGAGTTTACAGTGTATCTGTTACGGGGAATACCCTTTTAAGGGAATAAATTCTTCCACATTCTCCTTACCACATGATTAAATATTTATTAATATGATTTCATCCCAAATTAAAGCTTCCTAGAATCAGTTAATAAAATTTAGGAAGCAAGCCAATAGCTTTCTGTGTTCTTTAAATCTGAGTGAAGAAAGATTGCTGGAGTTGGGGATCGGGGAAAAAAAGAAAAAAAAAACAAAAAACAGATTCCCGAGGAAGGACATTTTCCTTGACCAGCTAAAGAGTACATGTCTTATAACTGTTATTGAAGCTAGCAAACATATCAAATTCCTCCCAGAATAAAACCTTGAAACACTGTATTCCTTCATAAACATTTGCCCACATTTAATACTGAGTACATTCTGATGTAACTTCTAGGTCCACTCTAAGAATCTAAATTTGTTTCCATTCCCAGGTTCAAAGATCTTTACACTAGTGATAATGTTGATATTAATAGTCACCACCATTTGCGCTTTGAGCCCTGAGCCAAGCATTGTGTTAGGAGTTTTTGCACTTGCTACCGCAAATACAATTTGAGATGTTTGCCAGATATGGAACTGAGGCTTAGGGAGGGTAAGAAATTTGCCCAAGGCCACAGAGCTAATAAATGGTAGGGCTGTGCTTCCACTTTTCAGTTTACCAACTGGTCAAGAAAGTTCTATTTAGCAAGTGAATTAAATTAGTATGCAGATAACATAAATGTATAAGAATGAATATAAGGTGGGTGCAGTGGCTCATGCCTGTAATCCCAGAACTTTGGGAGGCCAAGGGAGTGGGTCACTTGAGGTCAGGAGTTCAAGACCAGCCTGGGTAACACGGTGAAACCCCATTTCTACTAAAAATACAATACATTAGCTGGGCGTGGTGGTGTGCGCCTCTAATTCCAGCTACGTGGAATGCTGAGGCAGGAGAACTGCCTGAACCCGGGAGGTGAAGACTGCAGTGAGCCGAGACTATGACAATGCACTCCAGCATGGGCAACGAGAGCGAAACTCCGTCTCAAAAAAAAAAAAAAAAAAAAAAAAAAAAAGAATGAATATAAAATAACTTAAGGTCAATCCTGTCAATCTACAGGGTTCTCCCAAGTGTCACGTGACAGCCCTGCTAAGGAAGCAGTGCCCTTCCCTCAGTACCATGCGGTCAGACAGCACCCAGCATCGCTATCCTTCACAGATTTCCTTCCAAACAGGGTGCCTTCTCCTTTGTTCCCAACAGAATTAGAGGCCACACCAGAGGAGAAAGAGACATCTTTTTTTTTTTCTTGTAAAAACATATGCCCCTCCATCCAGTTTAGGCTCTTGAAGCTTGGGAGTTGTAAGGATAATGAATGATTCAGAAGACAATTAAATTCACCCAGAAAAATCCCAGCAAAAAACTCCCAGGACTACAGGCGTATAGGGGTTTCATAAGGTGGCCCACAGAGAAAGTAAACATGAAAAAAACTTAAGCCTATCTACATTACCAATGAAATGGCAATGTAATTCTTCCGCCTAACCCCTTCACTACAATACCCATCTAAGGTAAAAATCACTCTCACATAAAAACATGGTTGTGCTGGGCCGAATCTGGCCAGTCCTCAAAACCAACAGCAGCTGCTGGCAGTGAGCTGCTACTCCGGCCATGAGGGCAGAGGAAGGGCAGAGCAGGCATGGCTGCTTCCCAAGGGTATCTAAAGTATATTCACCACCACACAGTTCTTAAAATGTCTTTCCTCCATGATACCCCATTTCCCAAATTTCACTCAAAGACAGAATATCATAAACAGAAGGGAATTTTGCTCAAGAATAGATAAGATCAGTCCATTGTAGGCAAAAGTATCTTTAACCCAGGAATAGGGAATAACATCGAAGACTACTGAGGCCCCTGGTCATGGTTCTCATGGGTGAGACTTGTGATAGACTGTGTAGGGTCCAGGGTTAGTTCTATGTTCCAGAAAGGTCTATGAGCTCTCCTGGTGCCACAGTTTAAAAGAAAAAATCAACGTAAAATATTTAATTAAAGATGTTTATGTTAAGCAAATACTAAAATTTGATTCATTCTATTCAAAACAGACAAACCTATATTTAGATATCTGATTTATTTGTATTTTAATGGTGCTTAGTGAAGAAACATGGTTATTTTGGTTCATTATTTGAAGAAAAAAAACTCACCAAGAACAGCAATGTATTCTGAATTAAAATAAACATTCCTAGGCTGGGCGCGGTGGCTCAAGCCTGTAATCCCAGCACTTTGGGAGGCCGAGACAGGTGGATCACAAGGTCAAGAGATCGAGACCATCCTGGTCAACATGGTGAAACCCCGTCTCTACTTAAAATACAAAAAACATTAGCTGGGCATGGTGGCACATGCCTGTAATCCCAGCTACTCAGGAGGTTGAGGCAGGAGAATTGCCTGAACCCAGGAGGTGGAGGTTGCGGTGAGCCGAGATCGCGCCATTGCACTCCAGCCTGGGTAGCAAGAGTGAAACTCCGTCTCAAAAAAAAAAAAAAAAAACATTCCTTTATCCAAGTTTTAAAAATTTCTCAGCTTCACAAAACCCCTTAAAAAACTCCAGAAGGAAAACTTATGACACTAGATGGCAGCAGAGTGCTACACCAAGCTCCACAAACAGCAAGCCACCTGCAAGGCCTTCGTAGAATGAGTCATTCCAAGACCTGTAAATGGGTTCCTCGTAAGCCCCCTCCTCAATGCTGACACGAATGGTCAGGGCGACCTTTATATAGCTTTTTTGCAGGACACTGGGAGCAATGAATTAATTTCAATACAGCATAAAAAGTCAACAGGTAAATAGCTTTAGAACTAGAAATTACAGTCATTTATATGTTTAATTGGATGATTCTGGGGAAAACCATAATTTTCAATAATTTTATTGAAAGGATGAAAGAATGATACAGACAGGGCAACACCCCCGCTTCTGCTAATGAAATAGAAGACCTGGAGACTGGGGCAGCTGGCGCCACCACGCCTCCGTGCAGCCGGTGGCCTCGCTTCCCTCCCGGACACTCTCTGCATCCCTCTGCCCACTGGCATCCACAACCTTACACATCATCTCCTCTTTGGTTGCCATGGATTCTTCGTCTTTGTGCCTTTCTAAGCTCAGTTCTTTTGAGAGTCCATCTCTTCTCTCTGCTCTGGTGCCCAAACACCTCCCAGGTAAAGCCAGCCTTCCAGCTCTCTCTCCTCTCCATAGATAAACTCCTCAGAAGCCTAGTCTGTCCTGGCTCCTTGCTCAGGAACCCCTCCCCACCATCAGAAGCACTTTCATCCATCGTTCAGTGGCAGCTGCTCTCTCCAGGCCTATCAAGTGATCTGCCCACTTTTCCCCAAGCGTAGAGCTGGCTGGGTCACACTGCACCAGCGTTAACAGAGATGAGCCCATCCTTCCTTGTTTAAACACGTCCTTCTTCACCAGTCTTCATGGCAACCTCCTGCATTTCTTCCTATCCCACTGGCCACTGATCAGTAAGCACCCTGGAGCTTCATCCTGGTCCTCAGCCCTTGGGGCGCTCACTGCCCAGGGGTTTCACTCATCCCAAGGCTTGAAAGACCACGCCTCACATACACCCCTCTGGCCCAGTCCCCTCATCTCCTGACTCGACTTCCCTCCCTGTATGTCTATGAGCCATCCAGCACAAGCCTCTGCCAATCTCAGGAAGCAGCATCACTGTTTTGGTTAGACCAAAAGTGAAGATGTCATTTGTGAATTCTGCCTCTAGGCTGCCATATCCAACCCATCACCAAGTCCTGAGTCTACCTCCCATGCTTCGGCTGCTGTTGTGCTGGTCCTGGCACCACCTCATGCCTGCACCAGTCCACCAGAGGCCTCCCTGCATCCATTTGCCTGAGCAGCCAAAGCCAGCCCCCAAAAACATAAATCCAATCATGATAGCCTGGGTTCCCACATGCTGTTTTATTTCTTTGTCTATTTCTACCACTAGAAAGTAAGCTAGACACAGCAAGGACTCTGTCTAGTTCTCTACTGTGTCCCTAAAACCTAGAACAGTGCTGGGCACACAGCATGTGTTTAATATGTGCTTAATGAATGGGAGAAAAAAGAAAAAACACTTATGCAGATATTCTAAATGAGGCCCCACAGGTTAAAGTTGGGACGACTGTTTTCCCAAAGCAGTCCCATCCCATCATTTCCATTTAATAATCTAGTAAGAATGAACTTAGGAGTAAATCTG